CCATTGCCGCGAAGGGAACGACCATGTCTGACAGCAGTTGAACCAATGTGGCATTCCATGGCTAGATACGCCATTCCTCAAGTATTCATGTCCTAGATACAATCCGTTCTCTGCGCTTGGTGCCTCACCAGGGAACCCCTGTTGCTGAGGCCAGCCGGTGTCTTTACCACGTAGCTGCCTAATGCCGGCTGTAGTGCTGAGCCCAGCGTGGCAAAGAACACAGCCGGCCTTACAACTGACACCTATATTCAAGTACGTGTATAGGGTAAAAGGCAAGCTTATTGCCTGCAAAGCTTAACATCCAGGTAGACACGATACGAGACGTTAATCTCCCCACGGAACCACATGCTGGCAGCTTCAGAATGTTCCTTATTCTCTTGCTTCCTAATAAGCCCTTCAATTAAAACAAGTACAAGTTTTTTCCTACTGCATACACTACAAACTAATATCGAGTGCTGCAGTGTATACTAGTGGACCTCGGCTGAAACTGAAATTAGCGCCCAACTCCTACGGAGTTGGGCGCACAGCAACAGTTCAAGCACAGACGCGCATTCGTTCTCCTAGGGAGTTGTACGCCAGTGGTAGCGTCAATTTTTGGTAGGAAGCTTCAATATGCAAGTCTCATGAAGGTCATACCATGCTTCTAGTGGCACAACCAGAAAAAACATTGTAAAACGGATTGCTCCCATGAAGAGCTTCACTGTGACTACACCAACCCAACTCTAGCACCTAAAAAACGATCGAAACAATTTCAGAGAATAACTCCATCCAGTTCTTATGGGCATAAGGCAGATTCCTTAGTCTGTAAAAAAAAAGCTGTTCGAGTGATTTAACCGCTTTTTTGCAACGCGCATCCCCAAGTTAGAGCCTTCTAAGGAGCACTGAAGTCACCACTTGCCCTTCCACTCCTCCAAATTTGAACGAACGATGCGGCAAAAACCCAACTCGTTCAAAGAGTGGGCTTCCACGAGCAAAGCTATGCTCGCTGTCCTCTGCTGCCAGTCCTTTACGGATCTCTTGTGGAACTGACGTTCTGGACTCTGACTTGGTGGGCTTAAGTGGGACTTCAGCAGTGTCACGATGCGGCATCTTTGACTCTGGTGCGGAGCAAAACAAAGAGTCAAGTTCCTCCAGCGTGCAGTTGCAAGAAGTAAGAAAGAGTAGCCCATACGCCGGCATTAGCCGGTGAACGCACTGTACGTATTGCTCTGGAGTGTGCATAAGACAAAAAACGTCAAAGGTTCCCTTGTCAAACACAACGGGAAAAGGTGGAAGAGTGGTGGCCGGCTCGCATGAACACGAAAGCACACCACAGCTTTCCTCTTCGCTGTCCGCTCCACCATTTTGTTTGGACACTTTCGGCAGCTCGTACGCCTTTTCGCAGCAGCAGATGCAAGGATGATGCCCCTTCTGTATTTCAGATCCCTCTTCCGGCTTAAGATCTCTTAAGTCCGCCTGTCTTAGGCAAATGTGTGGGGATTTATCGCTGCTGACCTTGGGATATCTTCCCCACAAGTTGCACCGCGCCAGTTCAATGGCGCTGCGAGAATAGTCAACGCCTGCCAGGCGCTCAAAACCGCACCGACGAAGTCTAGCAAGAAACTGGCCCCCGCCGCAGCCCAAGTCCAACACTGGAAGCTTAGTAAATTCTTGAGAAATCCGCGGCCCCGTCCCTTGGCACCAATCACACTTGCCGCTGGCACAGGCATCAGTTTCGTTAGTATCCGCTCTACGTAGTGCATGCACCCGACGAAAGAACGGCTGTAATTGGTTGCCTTTAGAACATTTCAGAGTGTTAAGGACCCATGTGGCAATCTTCGCGCACTCCGGACCGAACCATTCCTCGCCGTCTACCGAGGAGCTGTCACTACTCCTTCTGCTGCTGCATCTGCTACTGCTCCTGCTACTGCTCCTGCTGTTACATTCTCTTTTATGCTCATTGCCTTGTCCAAAGCTGGAGCGGTAGGCTTTTCTTGTCCGCGCGTTAGTCAGTTCCCTCTGATATATTTCCTCCCACGTTGAGTGGAATGCGTGGCGAGACAGCTCATCATCCTCCATATCCTGCCCTGTGGATTCCTCTATTTTGTTGTGTTCTTCGGAGCCATGCCCTGCCCTATTCCCACAAGGCTGCGCCTCGAAGATCTCACCAGTTGCGCTTTGCATAGCGTGACCTGCTGCGAGTACCGAGAGAAAAACAAGAGCACACTTAGCCGAAAAGAGCGTCCCCCCTTGCTACGAAAAAGCTAAAAATGGAAAAGGCAAATTTTTTAAAGCAGAATAAATATACAGATCGACCAGCGTGTCCCAGAGCCAACATCGACCATGTCCCAGAGCCAACAATAGTCCGTAAGGCCATGGGGGCCCCATGTGGGGCCCCAATACCCCAAAGGAATTCGATTAAGCGCTCCTTATGATGTATAGCAAAATGGTGGGTACGTATTATCAAGATAACGAGCACTTTTACAAATCTACCGTCTAGGATGAGTAGGTTGTACGTCTTGAGTAAGTAAGGCTACCACGATGGTGTCTTCCGACCGTCGTAAATAATTCGTTGTTTGGAAGCATGCTGAAAGGAGAAATGCTCTAAGCCCCAGTCCCTTAGCTAAAAAAATAAGCTGATCCAAATTCATCATTTAAGGCGCTTTCTATGTTTTTTCGTAGTATTCTTTTCTAGCGGGAACACCGCGCTGGGGCAGGGTGTTCATCACAATGCAGATGTGCCCTGAAACAGAATCTGAGACTGGTCGTACATGCAGTGATCTCCGTCACTTGGTTCAACTTATTTATGTTGAAAAAACATGCAGATACTCCGATTTGTGCTGGGCCAAGAAGAAGTAGCTGTGCACGTCCGACAAACTCGTTTATCCGAACATCTAGGATGCTGCAAGCTACAGTTATCCGGAAATCCTGGAAACTGCTACGCAGAGTTTGGCTGGCAATTGTGGTGAAAAGCCTTGAAGACTCAGGGCCATGTGGACTTCAGATGAAGTATTCTTATCATCATCACTAAGCGAAAAAACGCTCGACTTCGTGCTATGCAGCTGCAGTTTACGAACAGCCAGTTGAGGCATAAATCTCTCTGAGTTTTACGTCGATACGGATTAAAAAATGCTCAGCCTAGGAAGGAATAAATAGACTTCGGTGTATTGAGCAGAATGACACAGCATACTTCGACAACGCAGTAGATTCAGGCGAATTCAGGCTCCGCTGCAAATATTAAAGGCCATTCACCCGCAAGGCGAAGATTGTATCGTCGAGATATGGGGGGAGAACGCAGTTGAAGACAAAGTGCGCCTAGCTTAACAATGCTCTTCGGTCACTTTCAAATGACAGGCTGAATCGATGCCTAATCTCAATTATTTTCACTAAAAGCATCAAAACCATCACAGGAATTAGCTCTCTGCTCCATGATAAAGAGTGTCGCTCTGTGGAATCTAAGTCTTGCAGCAGTTAGTTTGTTGTTTCGGAGGTTGATGAAAATGCTGGTGGCGAGAGCATTTGTGAAAATATGGACGAAGTGGTGGCGCCAACAAAAGCAAAAACACTTTTCCTGGAGGCCAAGCTCTCTCTGTAACCCTAAAGGTAAAAGGAAAGAAGGCTAGATTTTCTTCTGGTGCGTTTGTCTTTAGATAAGAATTTCTGTATCCAGGGCTGGGAATTGCGAGCTCTCAAGTGCACTTCCAGCTGCAGCGTTGTCTAGCTTATGTTTGGTTGCCTCTCTCTAAACGCAGAGCCCAGAAATGTTGGCATTTCGTGCAGCTAGGTCTCTGATATATTTAGGCCAATGATGCCCCAGCATAGGCTCAGACTCTGATGTGATGAGTGAGCTGTCGGCTGCGTAACCACTTTCTGCACTGTTAGCGAATTTCATTGCATTGTCTCGCAACTTGCTGCAGTAATTGGCGATGATGTTATTTTGCCCGTCAGCATTATTGCGCCGTTGCTTGCCACCGAACTCAGTAGTCGCGATGGCAGCTATCTGCCGGGGTTGTCAAATGGAGACAGAGACAGGGTGCATTGCGTGGCAGCTTGAATGCTCACTAGGGAGCTTCTGATGGGTTCATGTAGGGTTTTGTTTGTCGCCGTCAGCCGATTGCTGATGCCAAGCTGTGGAGCTGTCACACGAGGCCAGCAATGCGCTGGGCGGGGCTGTACCGATTACCTGGAGGTGTCTGTATGTTTTTGATAACTCGACACGAATGTTTCCTCACTAATGAATGAACGCAGTTGCTGTTCACGAGCTGCGTCTCGATATTCGCAGGCATGGAGAGTTCCAGCGGAGTCCGCTGGCACCCATAAACCATGGGCGGGAACGCCTTTAACTGGAAGAAGCACAGCCTTCTAGATAAACTCACAGCACTGTATCATGTTAAATAAAAGTTTTGTAGCTTGATGTGGGAGCCAACACTTAGACTCTTCCCCACGGGCCCCCCCCTTCCCGTGCTTGCCCAGCCAGATGAATGCAGCCTCCGGAAGTTCAACGATCGTAATCTGCAAAATTATATTTGGAACTTCATCGTATGAAGTTAGATTCACTTGGAGCGTGAACCATTGTTTTAAAGGGCACAACTTCACGAGATACCTCCCGGAGGGTCCGGCCACCCGCCGCTGTCCAGCTCTCCGCCAACTTCGTTTTTTCCCAAACCTCTGTAATTGTTTTAAGTTCCTTGATTTTATTCCTTTGAAATCAAATGGAGAGCTACACGCATGTGAGGTAGCCCCCTCCCAAATAGGAGCTCATTCTGTTTTTGTCTTCAGCTCTGTAGTGCACGATCACGCAGTCAGCTACGCAGCCGCATCGCGTAACTCTCACGTTTCTGCCAAGGGTGAATGAGCCAGCAATCAAGAAGCCGTAAGAAGGACGCTAGAATCTGAGTTGTAAAGAAAGGGAGAGGAGTCGTCCCCATACTCGCAGTGGAATTCACATTGCGCGGCTGCAGAGGGCCAGGTGAAAAAAACAGCGCCTCTGGCTATCATTGACGCTCGCTGCATGCAGACCCATGGCTACCTCCCCTCCATCTGAGGCACAGCAGGCCACTGTTCCATCCTTGCCCCTGCCAGTGCCTCGCGTGCGACTTCGCTTGGACCGGCGGCTGCTCCTGGTCTATGGGCTGCTGCTCTTGGATGTCGTGATGATTGGGATAACTTCACTGCAGCACGTATGGCAGCCGGCTAATCTTATTGACAAGGTTCTTCAGAACCACAACGCTCCACTGCACGCAGACACGTCGCCTGCTCTGCAGCCGCAGCTGCCAGTGGCTGTCAAGCGGGAACTCGGGATGTCTTGTTGCTGCGGCTGGCTGGCTTTGGCTGTAATGGGTATACTCTCCTTGCTTGTGTCTTATTCACCATCGTCTCTAGATACTGTTGCCACGGCCCCATCCGTGTCGGCCAAGGAGAGCTGTAGAGGTCAGGGCTCACCAACAACGACAACGGCCCGCCGTAGTCGTCCACTTGCTGTACAAACGAAGGACTCTGGAAAATGCGCAGCGTGTTTGCGCACAGTAGAGGAGGTAGAGCTTCAGGTAAAGCTCAAGTACCTTCTTGTAGCGGTCGCGTCCTTTTGCGTATTTTTTGCCCTCAACCTGATCGTGCAGATCCACGGGCGGTTCCAACAGAGCAAAGTGACTGTGGCTGCTCTTAAGACATTCGCAGCGGAAAACACAGAGAATGCGCAGATGATCTCTTCCCCTGGCCTGTACGGGCTCGAACAGAGAGACCCTCAGGGTTTCCCTTATGATGCGAAACAAAGCAACAGAGTGGATGGGGTATACAGCGCCTCTGATGCCAAAGGTGGCGCGCAGCTGTTTGTTGGAGAGATGCCATCACAGGACACGTTCTTTCCTCAAGGCGTTCACCCTCAGTCCCCTTCATACTTCTACTGGAGAGATTTCCGCTTCTGGATGGAGCTCGGGAGAGAGTGCTTTCTAGACGGAGAAATTCAGCTCTCTGGCTTGTGGGTGGTGCTGCACTTGGCAGCGCTGTTGGGGGGCCGTGGCTTTCTTCACTCGCCCCCAGCAATGCACGTTAGTGCAGAGTGATGAGTGGCAAAACACTGGAAAGCTGGTGTTCGTTTCTCGCCAGTAAGAAACGAACACCAACCTTCCGCGCCGCCTTACCGCTGGCAAGGCGGCAAACGAAGACACACGGATTTACGCTGCTGTTGCAGGCTGCTAAAGGACAGAGAATTCTGTCTGCAGGCGTGGCCCTGCGCTGTTCCTCTCGAGCAGGTGGCACGGCTCATTACTCTAGAACCGTGCAAAAGGGATGCAGTAGAGTCCTTTTTGTGAAGCGCGCAGGAACAAGCTTCTTTCTTACTCGGATTCCCCTGGCTTTAATGCATGAGAGTCAACCAATGTATGTCATATGAGGTAAATACCATGTGCTTGCAGCTTGCTGCTGGATAGATGCCCAAGAATACAACGGTATGCTTTCATTTCTCGAAAAGTCATTTTGCGTGTCATGTGCATAATGGTGTAACGACACGCGCTCCCTCCATGACTACCTTTTCAATTGCGTGGGGCTGCGCTGCAGCAGCTTGCGAAAAGCTTGAAGTTCGCATGAGGTGTGCAGCAAAGCCCGCGTTTGTTTGAACACAACCTGCCCAAGCATGTACCACTTTCCAAGTCACGTCCTTCCGTTTAGCTCGGAATTTTCGCAAGGACCCACAAAGTGCTCCCATGTATCGCGTATACCGCTCGCCACGTAGTGGCTCCCGGAAGTGGCAGATATAAGTTTTCAACCTATTGCGTCTGGTATAACTAGTTGGGAACTATTGGGTGTAATGCGTAGGTGGGAAGTCACCGCTGTCGAAACCGTCAAAAGTTTGGCAAAAGAAGTGTAAAGGCACTTCACAACAAGCGTTCTGCTGTAAGCGCAAGCTCCACCGTATCTCGCCAACGTGCGCAACGCAACAAAATGCGCCGCACTATTTGCTATGTGCAAGAAGAGCGCAAAACAGCCACAGCAGTGGTGCACAGAAACCCAGCAGGCACACGAAATAGCCCGCGTTGGATCTCGTGCAGTAAAAAGCGCCACTAAAAATTCAGTCGGCGCCACCCTACCCATCTAATCTAACGTAGTGTTGCCTGTGCAGCTGGCTGTCTCAGCAGCCGTGAAGCACTTCGAGCCTCTGCTGAAGCACTGCGCCGCAGCCCTTTCAGGCTGGGAAGACAGCACTGAACTACTGCGCCTTGTGCCATGAACGCTACGTGTGTCTATGGGCGTTTGTGCGTGTATGTATGCCTATCTGAAATGTTTGGCTCAGTCCGCTGTGCGTCGTCACTTTAGTACTATAAGCATTTCCGACAGAATGGCCACTGAAAAAACAGCCAAGGGTGTATGCGTGTCAGGAAGAGGTTATTCCCCTCCTTGCCCTGGTCTCCCACCAGGCCTTCCTTCAATTGCGTGCCAGTACCCTGTAACGTAGACACAGCTCAGCAGCAGCAAATAATAAATCCACGGTTTATGCCTTTAAAATCTAAAACTCTCAGAGCTATCAAGGGTCCCGGCCTGATATTCAAGTCTCATAATCTCCCCGTTCGCGCCATTACAAGTGAAATGCATTTCTCTTCTTATCTCACCGCGTGCAGAAGTCTCTGTAATCGACTGTATTGCCGCTGAAGAATTTCCTGTAGAATAAAAATTCACGGCAAAAGAGAACACCAGATTCCGTAACATTCGCAAACTTGCTCAAGTTAGCTGAACTTGAGTGCTCATCAAGGTCTCACTCATCATCCCAGGAACGCAGCTAAGTATTTGCTACAAGCAACTAAGTTGCGACAAACTTACGATTCGACCACGCTCATTTCCTCCTTGGTCAGAGGCTCGCCGAAAGTCATCAAAATGTTGCGCATTTGCTGCACAGTCAAAGTGCCACTTCCCTGTTCACCACAAGAGCACAAGTCCACGCATTTTTAACAGCCCAGGACTTGAATATCCCAAAAGCATCTAAGCTTTTACTCGAAGTACATTATCAAATCGAAGAGATTTCTCAGCAGCAGCTGCAGCAACAGCACTTCCAAACAGTTCCGCAAAAGACTAACATTCGGGTCAAAGTGAGCAAATGCTCCGACGAGATCTTCAATGTTGTCTTCAGGATGAGTGCTCTGAGCTGCGAACTGCTGGAAGGTGGCGTAGTCAAGTTGGTTTCCATTCTCTTGTTCGCATTTTTCGACATCTGCATATGAAGGGGCGAGGCCGAGCTGCCTGGCCAGAACTGCGGCGTCTGAAGTTGAGACTTTGCCGCCTGAGGCTTTCTCGTTGTACTTCTGTTGCATTTCGTCGTTTTCTACCATTTCTTTCAAAGCCTCTTCCATGTCTTCATCAGCCTCGCCTGCAGCGCAGCGGCCACACCGGGGAGGTCCTCACTAGTGCACACGGCGCGCGTTTGTTTGTTTTCATTCATTAAAAGACGAAAAAAGAACACAAAAGAATGCAAAAGACTCTCTATTTGGCAGTTTAAAGTGCGCGCAAAGTCCCAGCAATGCCGCCGAAGACAACAGCTCCCTGCGTGGCAGCAAAAGGGCTTCTCAGGCCACAAGTTTGACTCCAATTCACTCTAAGTGACAAACTAAGTGGCTCGGGCAGCTGACCTTCCGACTCCGAGTGCTCTGAGCCGTACGCATCTTCCTCAGGAACGGGCTTGGGCTTCCACTCAAAACCCGGAATCCACATGAAGTAATTGAGCTCCTCATCATAGGGCTCCAAGACCTCCCCGGGGCGGGGAAGCTTGTGATAGCAAATGGGGCATCCTTTCTCGGCTCGGCCCATTTTCTTGACTCTTCCCGAGGCGCAGGTAGCTGCTGGGGGCCGTCGCCGCTCCAGAGGTGGTAACAGAGTGAGGGGGGAAGGGGGAGCGGGACGAGCTGAACAGCAACAGTAAGGCATCTAGGAAAGCAAATGCTATTTGGCTCGCGACTGGGGGGCAAAGCATCACAGGGAACGAGAACATATACCACATGTCTGCCTAGCAGTGGCGCTGCACTCCCGCCGGTGCCGGGGCATCCGCGGAACAAAATCCCGCATGGGTTTGACTGCCCAGTATTAGGTTGCAGCGACTTTGCAGCCAGGGCGAAGCACTCAGTAGCCGCAGCTGCTGCGCAACAGGGCCTGCTCCCGGCTTGAACACACTCGACAAAGGGGGTCAGCAGCGCAGCTCACAGCGTTAAAGAGCCTTTCCCTATATATGCGATGCCGTTAAGGCCTCTATATTGAGGGTGGCTTCATACAGTACAGCTAAGAGACTCAAAAATTAGCACTCCGAGAATAGCTAGAAAGCAATCGATGCAGTTCTCACAGCCGCACCAAGGGGGGATTGAAGCGGAGGTGTTGACGCTGTTTCCGCCGGCACAGGGGAATCTTCGAGTCGTACAATAAACTTTTCGATTCAAATCGGGAACTATTTCGTACATGCAGGGAAGCACTGACCCAAGATGCAGGTGGTGGTGGGGCACCTGCGAGCCTCAACAAGCCACGCGTCACAGACGATGGACGGTCCATACAGCTGGTGAGAGGTCGATCCGTCGAAACTTAAAGAAACAAGGCGCATTTTCCCAAAATCCCCAAATACATGAGCTCCACATTAATAATTGTAGCACCTAAATCATTGTAGTATTTTGTATCCCTTCACTCAGATGGTGCCAGCCTCCCCGGGCTTAGCAGCAAAGTCTCTGCCGTTTCTGCACGGGCCTGGGTTGCGCCCATCGGTAATAAAGCCGTTTATCTAAGTTGAGGTTTAATGCAAATAATATTGTCAAATTGAAGCCATAACACGATTCATTGCCGCCAAGGCTACGCTGCGCCCTGTGGACGGGAGATGGTCGTTCGATGGCTTCTTGTTGGGCCTGATTCGGGAGCACAGCAGATCAATTTCCGTATTTTTTCCATATTCTGTCAAACCACCTCCACAGTCATCCAGTCGCTGAATAATTCAATTGTTAAGATGATCTTCGCGCTCCCTACTGGGTGGCGAGGCCTTAACCTACGGTTGCCTGAGTTAGATGTGCGGGCGAACAGTAGGTGAGTTGCTCGAAAATAAGAAAAATTGTTCGAGAAGGTTGCACTACAGGTGCTTACACTGCAGTATTCTTTGCGATTCTTTCCAGTTCCCACCGAACAACAATTCGTATCCAATATATGACTTGCCTAACGCACATTTTTGCTGTATTTCTGTGTCATTCCTTCCTGCATCCTTGCCTGGAGTTACAATTTTTTGAATTTGTGCCACTTCCCTAATAGTCGATTTTACATTGCGTCCTTACACCGAACTGTTGGGGGTCAATGCATGCACCAGAGAGGTTGGGAACGGAAAAGAGGTAGCGGAAAGCTTCTACTTGTGTCACTATTCTATTCGTCCCATGTGCTGCCTTCAAAGGTGAAACAGGCAGCTTTAGTGGTGCAAGAGCCGTAAGGAATTCAATATGAAGATTGTTCAGAATTATATATTTTTTTGGACTTGCTTAAATAGGGGCAACAAATACATCTTTATCGGAGTCTATTTATAAGAAAAACCAGGCGTGAATGCACGCACACTTACGGCTTTTAGAGCTATATTTTTTTCTCTGATGTACAATGCAGAAGTAAGACCTTAATTGTGCATCTGGAGCCTTAGTTGTTCAGTTCTTGTAGCGAGAGTCGGTCACTCATAAATGTCCATTAATGGGTGGGAATCAGCAGCAGTTAAAACGGATCCAAATGGCATTAATCACTTCAAGGCCACATCATTTTGGCCTAAAGATATCTTGTACATCATTTTGGCCTAAAGATATCTTGTTTGGAGTGCGCAAGTGGTACGTGAAGAAGACCCTATTTTTGAAAGCAAGCAAATCTGATCAAGTCCTATTGGCGGATGTTAAATGCTTCAGAACCCTGCATTGTCACACTTTAGTATTGAAAATTTTCTTGTTCGCCTTTGTGTCGCTTTATTCTTCAAAAGATCCATTTAGACTTGATAGGAATTCGCTTCTTATGAACGAAAACTTATACGGCTTCGGGAGTGCCTCGCTGCGAGCATATGCTCAACAAATCCTTCTGGCATACAACCAAAAGAATCAGAAAAGCTTATCTACTGTTGTAGCCAAATTTCCCTCTCTCCAACCTTGTCTGCAATGCTTTGCAAAGTACTCAAAGCTAGACCGAGTCGCTGACCAGTCATGCAGTTGCTGCCTGCCACTTTCTCGAGACCAGAGGTCATCTCAATAATTCCTCCATGCTGACCCAAGCTATCCTTCACACGCCTGTAATGCTGGCAACACACTGAATATATAGGACCCCTGCCTCTGTGTACTCTCTGAACAGCTGTTTACAGATTTAAGCAGTGAAACCCGTAGTCTGCAGCGGTGAAACAGAGTTTTGACAAGCGCATACGACAGTACTAATTTGTTTCCCTATTGGTAAGGACCTCGGCGTGGTGCCGTGTCTGCAGAGCCATTAAGTAAGGCACTGGCGACTCTTCAAAGGCCGCCATCCACTTCTGAGTTACTTTCTGACTGAGCCATACTTGGAGCCCCTTTGCTTTCGCAGTGTTTTAAAGAGAGGTGAAGGCCCACCCCTTCGCCGAAGACTTTGCGGGCTGTTTTTTTTCCCATCGTTTGCACGTGTTTTTGACTGAGCAACTTGCATGTTCAACAAATGTTGTAGTGCCAGAAACGCCGAATGTTGAGTTCAGCTGGAGCTGTGTGAGTAAAGGAGTGAAGTCAAGCTGACCTACGGCCCACTAGGGTCTACGGTCTCACCAGGTGCTATCCTAGGCGGCTGCATATGTAGCTTGATGTGTCACAGCTTACTCGTCGGATGAATTGCAAACGGTTTTAATTGATGAAACTGGAATCTACGAGGACTGGGGAGCGTGTCTGGAGGTGCTAGGCAGCGAACAGCTGGAGAAGACACTCTAGCAGTTTTGATTGCCCATACTTGGGAGCCATCAAAGGTGATCACAGGTTCAAAAGTGTGTTTGGCGCTAAGTCATAAGTGCCCAGGTAACCGCGTTAGGTCCACTAATTCTCTGGCGCGAATTGCCGGCACTAAATCTCTCTCCGGGGCCACCGATGCGGCGATGGCTTTGCGCAATCAGAGAGCTATGAATGTGTGACTGGAATGTCTAGGGAGCATAGTCAAAGCAAGTTTCCTTTTTGTCGAAATCTGTAAAGCTGTCGCTTAAGAACTATGCACGCAGTAGCAGCACAGTCCTACATTTCTGCTGATGTGCTGCGCCTGGCGCCTTTTCCCTTCATATAATGGCCAGGAAAGAGAAACAAATATTTTTTCCTTTGGAAGCCGTTCGTTTTCCCCGTAATTGTTTCATTTGCTAGCTGTGACTTGAGGCAATGCATAATCACTGACCCCACCGTGAGCCAGCCACAGTGCCTTCAGAACAATACACTGGTTTTGAATGCAAAGGCATCCAATGGAGTGGACGCTCGTGAGTCTTTCTCCATAAGTAAACTCGCAAAAGCGCTCACTGTCTGCTGTCGTGGGGCGCTACCACGGTGCATTTCACTCATCATTCATGGAATAAAGCATTAGGTATTATTATGTGTACATTGCTCAAGCAAAGTGATTCATTCTGCCTGTTGTTCTAGGTCTGGTACTACGTAAGTCACTTAATCCACTCATGTAGCCACAGAAGCTGTCAAGCGCATCCCGACTAATTTCGCGTGCCGTTGTTCCTTTACTATGCCTGAGAAGTCAGATCCTGCCTTAGTATTCATTTCGCTTATTTCTGATGGCACCAGATCATGAACTCCACCATGTGTATACCGCACTACTCAGTGTACATGGTGAGACTGGGTGGCGGAATGCTACACCCCGAGTACCTGTTTCAGGGGTGCCCTAGCGCCTGAAGACTCGCTGGCTGAGAATGACCTCGCGTTGACTGGGAATAAAAGTTAAATTTGGGACTAGATCAAGCATTTCGCAGCACTATCCCTACAGAAACATGCAGATCTTGTAGACGTGAGCCACGGCACCTCGCATGGGCCGCAGCAGTTGGCACTGCTGCCTCACTTAAACAGCGCTTCTAAAGTTTTCGATATGAATTGTTTATCTTGCTTTATTCTCAAAAAGCACTTTCCTTTCAATTTAGCGAAGGAAGGCGACAAAGGGTCTTGCGTTCTCACTCAGCCTCGCTCTCGGTACGCTGGAGCTTGCGAGCTGGCGCAGAGCCTAGGGGAGGCGGCACCCTTGGGGCCATCGGTTTGCCTTTTTCCTGGCTGGTGTTTATATCGTTCGTCTTTCTTTTGTATGGAGGGCCCGTACAATATATTCTTCATGTCCAAGTGAGATGGATTGGCCTCCGGCAGCATCAACTGCGCACTGGCCGACGCCGCCACCTGGCATTCCCATCCCGTAAGCTGGTGGGGTCAGGGGTTTTCTCTACATTTTTTGGCCAACGGCGATTTCCGAATTTTCCCCATCTTTGTGCTTGGCTCCTCTCAAGCTAGAGGCCCTAGAGGGGGCGCTTTGAGACGCCGTAGTCTCAGAGCATCCACAGGACGTTCGTCTGTTCCCGCACATCATCTGTTTCCTTGCCCGCAGTGTATCGACACCAGATGGAATGCATTTTTTACTCTTTATTTGCTACTTTTGAGCTGATCTGCGCCAAGAACAAATGAAGGGCCGCCGCATCTCTGTTTCGCGATCCTCTGAAACCCACTGATGGGCGTGTCTTCTTCCGAAAGGGCATCCGCGGGCTTTTCGGACTTCTCCCGCAGCCTCAAGGGCAAACAAAGGGAAATGTGCATTTACTGTTCACTTGGTTCTTTCTACTGCGAAACGACAGCCCTCCAGAAACCGGTCGCTTGTGGGGCTGATTGATCCTGCAGTTCTGTTTCGGCTCCCGCGGTGCAGCGGGTGTCTACGTCCACGGGGTGAATACGCACCTATATCAATTGATTCGTGGCGACAAAGTGTAGTTGGGGCATTGGGCTGTCTGTGAGCAGCTGCAGTGCTTCCACGCCGCAACCAACAGCTCGTTTGCGCTATCCATATGCATTCATGCTAGCGGTCAGGCAGCACCGGTTTCGGCGCCTTCTTATTTTGGACCTTAGCAACAGCAGGAAGCGCCTCACCCAGTGTGACTGAGGGGAGCACGAGTTCAATTTTCTGCTGCAATACACAAGCAGAACGCCTACACCGCAGAGGACAGGCAGGTGTTCCCTGCCTTCCGCTGCTTTCCTGAGGAGGGAAGAGCGCACGCGTCATCTATGGTTTTAAGAAGTAGTGTCGGGAGGGCCATTGCCAGTTGGAGTCCCCAGGCTTCCTGGTGGATTCGCACTTCGTGTGGATCCCCCTTTCTGGAACTGTCACTGGGTTGTAGGTACACCGCAGCCTGCGGGAGGCTGAGCACTTGATTCAGCAGCCACATTTCCCCTTGTTGAATAAAGTACTAGTGAAGTAACCACAGCCTCCAGGAGCTCCCGTGCTTGCCCGCCGCAGCGCTCGGCGGGCCCCGTAAACAAAGCGGCTCTCTCGTGTTGCGTTTGATGGAGGGCCCCCGACAGTTCTCGCGTTTTATTATCCGAGTTTGGTTTGCTGTTGCCGCGCTATAGCCTTCTTGAATTCGCCTTGAAGGGGCGCTGGTGGTCGCTGGGAGGCAGCTGATGTGTGTAGCACACATTGTCCTCATTGTATCTTGTTTCTGTCCGTGTTCGCTTCGCCTGGTTGCAAGTTGCTGAATAAAAGTTTCCCTGAGCACTTGAAAAGCACCTATTTTTATTTTTGTCTTCTTGTTCCTGCCAGCCTCTCAGCGCTGCAGTTCCCACAGACGGGCAATGGACGGCGACCTGCAGCAGCAGCAGCCGGGGATAGCGGCGAGCTCTTCTTACGGCCGCCCCTTCCAGACTATGGTGATAAGAGACACTCCAGGGTCTTGTATTGTCCCGGACTCCCTCTCCGACTCGCTGGCGCGTCAGCTCTCAGCGCAGCTCTCCAGCAGCGGCCGCATTTCCACGGACAGGTCCCCCTGTCTGCTGCCTTCCCCCTCCCCCCCCGCTGCAGTTTCGCAGTGGGAGGGGGCGGCGGTGGCAGCAAGCGGCGCTCTCTACCACGGGGCTGGGGGCAATCCCGGGCTGGTGGGAGAGTGGAGCCCCGGCGGGTCTGTGCCCGCCAGTTTGTTGCTAAGTTCAAGTACCTCTTCGGGCGTGCAGCAGCGGCGCGAATTCAAAACTGCAGCAGAGACGATGAGTGCTTCCAGCGGCGCAGTTACTGGGGAAGAAGGCTCTGCTTTCCTCGCCGCTTCCAGCCGGATCGCCGGCCACCCCACGCCGGCCACGCAGCAGCAGCCCATGGGTCTCGCGTACAGCCTCCAGTGCGCAGGCAGGATGGGCAGTATGGCCCCTCTGCTCTCCTCTGATGTACAGGCAGATGTTGTTCGTTTCGTGGTAGATGAACAGGGGCACCAGCGCATGCGCAGGGACTCTGCGTTGGATCTGCAGGCCCCTCCTGGCTACGAATCTATAGACCTATCTGTAGCGCCTTCCCTCGAGGCGCGACCCGTGGCCGAGCAGGATGTGCTTATTCAAGAGTTCAATGCACGCTCCAGAATTGGGTTTCCCGCCTCGGGAGAAGGCACCTTGGGCCTCGAAGCTGGGTTTTGTGGACAGCAGCCGCAGCCAGACTTCGCGAGGCGGCGGTCCTCGACCCTCTCGCCGTCTTCGCAGACAGCACGCGACAGAGCCGCCGCCCGAAAAGGAAGGAGTCAGCGGACTACACTGGACACTCCCTCTCCTTCTGTGGAGTCTGCCGCGTCTGCGCCACCTGTCAGCTTTACCCAGAACACGGGGGGGAGGGATGGGATGGCCCTGGCCAGATCCGAGCCACTGGAAAACGAGAAGAGTCACGACCCCGTGCATATGGATGTGGGTTTGTCTATGAGCAAATTGCAGGGGGAGGTCAGGTCGTTTGTGAGTATTCTGTACGACTCCGTCTTCAATTCAAGTCCGACGTGGCAGGTGCCAATGTACACGTCGGCGGCCCGCGGCGTACACACCCCGCAGCTGCCAGACGTCGTCGTTACCATGCACTCGCCCTGGTGCACAAGGAAACAGTGGCTGGACCCGCAGCTCGTCGGTGGCCGACCTCTTGAACACCCTGTTTTTGACCAAGGAACGGGCCACGCGGACGCACTTAGACAGCTCACAGCCCTGAAGTCGTGCATAGGGGACTTCGCGGTCACAGTGGAGTGCGTGCAAGCTTGCGTCGCCGGGCCCGGTCGCCTCTCTTGTGCCCTGAGAGGCACGCTGGTCGCCCCGGGCCTCCTGTCTCGCGACCCCGAAGTCAACGAGCCAGGCCGGGACGGCCACCCTCAAGCTCCCAAGATGGGCCGCTTTGCTCATTTCCTCACGCTTATCCCGAAGCACCTCAACGATGACACCGCAGACCCTTCAGGCGACGGCAGCAGGAATACGGTCCCGACAGATCCCCACCCCTGGATTTTGGTCGCTCGGAGTTTGTATTTTTTGATCGAGTCTGAAATGTTCGTGGCTATTAATGCGTCAGAAGGGACGGGGGGCGCTGCGCACATTTCCTCTCAGGTTGTCAGTGGCCATTCGCTATTGTGTGATGCGGATCTCAGCCCAGGAATCCCCAACGGCTTCGAAACCCCCCTCAGCGTTCCACCGGGAAGGGGTTCTCGAAGCGTGGGGCAACTGCAGGAGCTGGCTGAGCAGCATGTGGCTCCAAAGAACACCCCATTGAGCTGTTTGTCGCTAATGCTAAAGCCTGCCATTGCTTTGGGGCACGACCGAGGCGTGCCTCTTCCTGGGAAGGCCAGGGGCTCGCTGCCTTCCTGCGACGACCTCCCTACGGGAGCCGAGTGCATGAAGGCTGCAGTGGCCCAACTTGCGACGGGTCTGCTTGCAGATTCTCCTACTCGAAATCAGCAGCACATTACGGGCTCGGCTGCGTGGACCGCTTTTATGCACAATCCAGCGCCGCGGCAGCGGCGCAGCCGCAAGAAGAAGAAGTCGAGACAGGCAGGAACAAATGCTTCGGACCCAGAGACGCAATTGCTCTCCAGTAGTAGTCTTTCGGCGGTTGTTTCCCAGTCTGCATCGTTTCAGCTGCCAGCCACTCTTCAGCTGCAGTCCTTCGAGCAGCAAGCCATGCAAGACAGACGCGACGACCTCCTCAGCCTCACGTCTTTGCCGTCTAAAGGTATATTGACCCTTCCGGGCTCCCAAGGGGTCCCTCCAGATGCCTTTGAACGGACTGTTTTCGTCTCGTGGATTCCAAGAGCCGCACGTGCCCAGGAGCACACGGACAAGGAAGAAGCCGAGGAAAAGGTAGGAAAATGCACAAGTGTTGCCGGAGTAGATTTGCAAACGTGCCACTGCTCATATTGTAATTGGATGTTGGTGATTCGTGTTTCGTGTAGTCGCATGTGTAGTGTTCCTCGGCTACTCGGTCACTCCGCTTGTGTGTTTTTTCCTGTTGTCTTGAGGTTGGCGAACACCGGTTGTTTTGTTGAGCAGCTGGCCTTTTGTTTTGTAGATTTTGGCCGAAAGGTTACTTCTAAACCCTGAAGCCCTAAACGCTGGAACGCTAATCTCTCAAACAAAAAGGCACACAAATGTATATTTGTAGACGCAGCTCACGCTTGCTGGCTAACGGCGCAATTCTGCTGCCCGGTTGTTTGGTTTATGTTTTGTTTGTGGCGCAGCTGAAGACGGTTCTTTCGAGCGAGTTGGGTATTTGCGGAATTGAGCGCGTCTTGGTATTCCCACCTCGGGGCTCTCACTGTTGCATCACCTTTTTCAACTCAGAGGCATCCATGGCTTTCTTGTTAGAGTATGCTGGCGGCACGTTTACACCCAACACGGAGAAGTTTAAGAAGCGCATCTGCGCCTCCTTCAATGTTGAATTTGACAGAGGTATTCAGAGAGTTTTCATTCGTATTGAAGGGGTGAAGCTGATGCCCCCGGCAGGTCGCGCCGCCGACACGGAGCCGAAGTCTTAGGCCCTGGTATTTATTCAGCATCCATACTTGACCGTCCAAGCACTGCCTTGTTCGTCTCATTTCAATACACCGAATTGTATTTATAGTTATAGTTTATATATTGTATGCAATTGTCCTTAATTTCGCCCACACCCCGTTTACAAATGGTCTCCACCTCGCCGACGTGGCCCCACGTGGAGATGTGTTTTTGAGCTTGTGTTGATTGAAAGCCCACATTGCTCAGGTCTGCGTGCGTTTATCGGCATCAGCCGCCTGATATAATATTCGCACTCCTCGTTATTTGCCGGTCGCTCCTCCTCCAGGAAACTGGCACGCGTGACAGATGGACTCACAGAGCCGCGCTCAGTCTCAGGAAGCTGTAGAGCATGTCTGCCAAGTATTTCGCTTGTTCTTTCCATCCGGCGACTTGGGTAAAACTCGCCGTAGAATGGGTCACAACACTGCTTAACTATGCTGTAGTGTACATCTGCCCGGCAGAAGCGCACATAGATTCGTCCGCATTCTGCTGGAATCGCATGCAAGAACGACTGCGTAGATGTCCGTTCGGGCCGTTTTGATAACCTTGGCCTCACTGCGTCGCCAATACAGGGAGCCGCTCATGGTGGTTTTGCGTGTTCGCGCCTTATCGAGGGTGACTCGTGCATTTGACAGCCGACGCTGTCCATGTTGTGCCAAATGGCACTGATTGCTGTCAGGTCCCCTTTGGCCTTAGTTCGTGCACTTGTTTTCGACCGTGGGTGGTGTACAATCTGGCTTTGCGCATATTTAGTAGATATAGGAAGTATCATGTTTGGCTCCGCCTCAATGTTTTCCGGTACACACAGACGGGTTGATTTCCACTCAAGGAATGTTTCACGGATGACGTCTACATGCAAAAGCGTGGCTTTTAGCGGGCCCCATACTTATAGTAGTCGTTACTACTTAGAGTTCGCATGCGGTGTGGTGGAGCCGATGCAAAATGCGGATCTGACGCACTGTAGTGATGTAGTGCCTGCGAGATTTGACAGGTTGCTTAGGCCGGAGTGACTAAGCTAAAGGCTGCCAAGCTGGAGTGCAGCGAAGCCATTCCTTTGCCCATCTGTAGTTTGTATAGTCAAGCAGAGAGACGCTAATGTTTGCGTAGTATGGTAGTGTACCTTTGGCATTTTGGGCTGTGGAGCTGCTCAATAAGCGCTCCATTGTAGAGGCGCATGTATGCATTTTGAACAAACAAAAGCAAAACTATCCAGGCCCGCTGCTCAGTGCATGCACCATCTTGGAGTAGCAATGTCCAGTGGTACAGCAGCTACCTTTGTTGGAGCGCGGCGCCCTGCTCAGCAGAACCGATAAGGGCGACGTGAGGAGTATAATGTAAGAAGATGTATCCTTACGCAATGTACACGCATTATATCGACGTATTATGTCTCCGCAACTGCCAGTAGTTGGTGTTGTCAACAGGCTCATTTTCTTGTGGTAGGTAGTGCATGAACTGATGCCTCTATTGGCTTTTGCCATGTTGTAGTTTCTTGTAGTCAGCAACAACAGCTGATCAAAGGTTTTATTGGTTAATGCTGGCAGTAAGTGGGGCAACTACGGAAAGTACAACAGAGAGACCAGTGGACACTCGCGAGCATCCGTCCTTGGTCACAGCCCTGATCCCTGTACAGCGGGACCTCGTTGATGTGGTTGCTTTTGCTCTGACTTTGTCTAATGCAAAACACGATGTGCAGCACGTGTGAATGAATTCTTTTTGTGTTACGCACATCCTTTTCCCCAATTCATCCTTGTTCTCTGCTTCGCTACGCCGCCACAATCGCAGCGGCCAAAGCCGACGCAGGTGTGCGGCACTGCAAAATCCCGTTGCACAATGGAAGGCGACGAGAGCGGCTGCCAGTCCAATTTTTCCATCCCTCATTGTGGCTGCTGGAAGCAGACTTCTGAGAAGGGGGAACACATCTGCAAAAGTCGCGCTCGTCCCGGCGCTGCTGCTGACGCCTCTCAGGAGCACTGGAGAGATAGTGACTTTCAATCGGCTTCAGATGCCCAAGGAGGAGATGACAAAAAGTCAGAAGGAAGCAGGAGCCAAGGCCGAATCAGCAATGCATTAGTTAGCGCTAGAGGCGGGATAACAGCCCTATTTCTGGGCGGGCTATTCTTTGCCTTGTCAGCTGGCCTCCTGATGGTATTCTACGCGGCGGTCTGCTGCGTCATCGCCGGTGTAGACTTTACAGAGAGCGCTGTGGGCCGTTTTATGTTCGATCAAGCTCCGCTTTTGGAGAATCTCGCCCGACTACCCCTAAGCGTTGCTGTCGTATTCGTACGGGCGGCGATCTTTATCTACTTCACATTTATTGAGTGGTTCATCGACTCCTTTCATTTGGTAACGGGTGTTTTGAGGTTCCTGTTAGTAGATCTGGCATTCAACTTGTACGATATGTCCATGGAGTACACGCGTTGGTGCCCGTGGCCGGCGATCTTATTGTATGGCGCGTTCTGGGCGCTTTTGCTCCAAGGAGTTCTTCTCCTGTTCGACTTTGGCCTGGGTGAACTGTATGAGAAAGTTAGGGCCTACTTATCTCTGCTGAAGTCCGTCGCAGACTTGGCAAGAAGGGGGGAAGAACTCAACGCGTTGCACCCTTCATTTCCCTTTCCACGGGGCAGGCCACAGCGCAGCTACGGCCAGCGCAGTGCTGCGTATTCCTCTACGGCGGAGGAAGCGGGTGGGGTCAGGAAGGTGGCGAGCATCCCCAAGAGGGGAGGTGCCTCAACAAACAGCTTCGCTGAAGGAACGCCCTTCAAGGCATTTGTTTGTCAGGCATCTGCAGACGAAACTGGAAAGTGCTCAGAAGGCTATCTGTCGTCAACTTCGAAAGCCCCCACGGGACTGGCTGGATCTGCTTCCCAGGCTGCAGGAGAGGGCAAAGCGAACAAGCCTGACTTTGATTCGAGGACCTTGAATGCAGACTCGTCAGAAACAACAAAAGCACATGTGCCAGAGACCCTTTTCCGACAGCTCAGAAACAAAAGGAGCAACGCCTTGTTTCCCCCAAAGCTAGAGAGAAAGGCGTTCCAGCTCTTCTGTTCAGGCAGTGTGGCAAACGAGGGCGACACAACGGAGTCCCTAAGTAGGCCTTGCATGGAACTGGAGATGAAAAACGCAGCGGGTTGGCCTCGCGATGTTTCTTCTGAACAGCGATGTGTTGAACCGATGGAGCAGTTGACCCCAGTGTGTTACGAAATGGAAGAATTTGCGAGTAACTTTCCAGAAAACGCGCCGTTTCTCGAAACCCCAGCTGTCGAAAGTGAGGGCGAATGCGGGGACGCGGATTTCGTAGACCACGAGTGCGAGCCAGAGGAACTTGGCGTCAACAACGATGACGACTGGTGCATTGTCGCACCTGAGGTCACCGAGTCAAGCACAAAGTTTTGCTGAGGCGCTGTGGCCGCGACAAGGGGAAGTGCCACAAGTGGGTGTTATGGGCACTTCCAGGTTGTTCAGTGCCCACCAGAACAAAGTAGGGTGGTGGCGCATGTCAATTCTCCACTGCACTTCGCAGCGAATTTGCTGCTGCTCAAGGCGGCCTTGCGCGCAGACTGAATTGCAGACCGAATTGTGAGTCATACCCGCCGAGTGTCTTGCATGGAGCGTGTCGGGCTGTGATTTTTACGGTTGTTTTTTTCATGTTTCCGCTTCATAGAAAGGCATGCGTTGATCCGGGGAGTCTCGCCGGGACAACGTCACGCATCAGCTTATTACGGTTGACCGAAGAAGACGCTGTATGCAGTGTACGACCTACGCCTCTTTCTAGCTGTAGGCGAGGACAGCAAGCTTGGCTTGAAGGCACACAAGGGCCTGCATTGGCGAGCGTTCAGAGCCTAGTGGAGGTTCCACACATGCACACTGCGTGAGCAGATTATGAGCCTGCCAACGCAGAACCAGGGGCTCGCTCTTCGAAAGATGCGAAGATAAAGCTTTCAGCTGCATATGCATCTTTTTGAGAGTTTCGACAACAACAGACATTTTTAGGCATACGGGAAGATCAGGATGCAGCTCTCCTGTGCAAAGCATGGCAGTGTCCCAAACTGTTTTAACAAGAACCAGATTGCAGGAGCGTTTCTTCTTGTGTCACAGGGCAAGCTGCGTCCTTCTGACAAATGTAGTGCAACCCAGCATACCAGCAGAGGCGTTAGGCCTACGATTTACAACTTTGAGCACAGTCGCTTGCAGCAGTCCACCGGCCAGGAACAGAAATCCCGCGGTGCGGTTTCGTATGCCCCATACGAGTTCATACAGCTAGCAATAATATCGTATACTGGCTATTCACTGCTACAAAGACGAACTGTCTGGGCTTAACAGTGCATTAGTGGTCGCGTAAAGTTCGGGTGAAATATCAAAAATGCGGTTCCCATCAAAACATGGCAGCAGCTGCTCTTGGCCAGTGTTACATGCAGAGAGTGTAGGAAATCGCGCAGGAGAAACCAAGAGAGAGGAATTTTGGTTTTTGAACAAAAGAGTATTTGGTAAGGAGCCAAATAAGTAACTAGAAAATCGTTTGATGGAACCCTGTTTCATTTGAGCTCATTGAGTTTACCGCTAGCTAGTCAAGTTCTACAGGGTCATCATCTCTATCAGCATCTCGTCAGGCTATTCCCAAGAAAGATTGTCTACCCGTCACAACAGTAAGCTACGACGACTGCCCAAAATACCAGTAAGACAGTCTCTGCTGCGCTTGCAGCCCGAGAGGCACTGGAGCACCAGCTAGCGGACACGAGCAATATGCGGGCAACGTAGAACCTTTGTACCACTATTCCTTCTCACAGCTGATATAAAAAGCACAAAACTTAGGTTCTATTGAACGGTGGTAAATTTTCCGTAGAAAGTTTTCCTTGAGGCAGCAGTCTATGGCAGCGCTGCAACTTCTGACTTCGGGCATTCTGTGAGCTCAGCGGAGGTTTGTAGAGGTTCATCTACTGCGAGTCAGGTTGTGCGAGAGCACAGGAAGAAGCCAAATACTGATGCTGTTTCTTACCGTACTGGGTTTCATTTGGGAAGGGTTTTCAGTGTCTGTCACACGCCTCTAGAGGTGACAGTAGAATGGGGCGTAACAGAGCACCGACGCTAACGTTTGCTCACTGGAAGCTACTCTACGTTGACTCTAATATACCCCCTCAACCCGCTAAATTATGCTTAACGACTGCTGGCTCTGGGCTATTTCCGCGATATTTATTGAGTTTCTCGCCTAGGCCTGCAATCAGGACTCTTTGCGTCTCTAAAGGCTATTGAAGAACACAAGGGCGAATATACAGGGCAGCAGGCTGCTTCAGCTGTTAGTCCTCATAATTCTGCCGCAAAGCTACCGGGATAATTTCCGTCGTTCACCTAATTCATTGCTTCACGATGAGTGCGCCCACATTAGGTCAGGAAGAGTAGAGAACATGCATCTGATTGCATGGGATGTGCTAATATTGAAAGGAATGCTAGAGAAGCAGGCAAGACCGTGACGCCGCGTGCTCATTTGGGACACCAACGGAGTACTGAGGATCCAGAAAAACCAGACCTGGCAGTTACCTAGTAGCTGGTGACATTTACACGGTGGCAAACTAAGTAAACTCAGCAGCAGGTCTGCAGCCAGCTGCGAAACGCGGTAACTGCGACTCGTGGTGAAAGCTGCGACATAAGTGCTGCATATGGCCCTATTCAAGATGCAGCCAAGAGCCTCATATCCTTGGCTGTGCCCTCGCTACTCTCTTTCATTGCGCTAGCAATGGTTGTTCCTAGAGCCAACATAACGAGGCAAAAGTGACGCCTCTTGCGCGGCTGGCCAGCATAAGGAGCCAGAAGTTTCGCCTGTAGAATGGCCTATCACACCTGAAGGCATAAGTATCGTCTTGAACGTGGTGAGCCACTACGTAGATGAGGGTCTCTTAAAGTCGCTGTATGCTTATCTATGACTAACTTGTACTTGTGCCCCAGAACTACAGTGGAAGGCTGTTTGTCAACTAAGCCCCATACTTGAACCCACAGCCCCCAACACTGACCATGGGTGTGTACAGCCGTCAAGAACTTGTCCTGCTTGGCTGGGGCCAGTTTTCACGGACATAATTTTGCCCCCAACTCTTAGCAGACAACTGTTAGCATCTTACGCAGTCAGCTACACCGTCCTTACTCATTCAGCCTCAAAAGCATCTACGTAAGATATACACCGCCATGCCACAGAAGTTCCTTCGCGGCCTTTACGGGGACGCCGCAGCTTTCGAACAGCAAACTTAAAAATGGTTTTAGTTCATCGTTAATAACAACAACTCAATATCACCACAGAGAATGGCGATGAGTGGATATCATAAAGACGAGGTCTTCTGAGACTGGGATCAGCAGAGGTGGGGTGGGGCTTCGCAGGGTGCTGCAGGCGCATCTCTTGCCCACCGCCACAGGTGCACCCCACCGCACTTGGGGAATGGCTGTGATTGCTCAGCATCACTTTTGTGTATTTCAAGCTCGTTCAACTTCAAAATATAGACGGCTCCTTGTGGCGCAGGCCCCAGAAGCTGTAATAGCATTCTCTCACGTGCATTTGGTTGTGTTTACCCCCAAAGACTTCCGTCGCGAAAATGGAGAACAAGGAAACATTTGCCTTCAACGCTGATATTCAGCAGTTGATGAGTGAGTTTTCGTATAAATGCTGTTTTCTTTTTATAATATCGACTTATTGGCGGCCTTTTTCTGGCGGCGTGCACTGCTAGTGGAGTGTGGCCATGCGGTGTCCACGCATCGCGTCGCGGCTGTCTTCGCTGGCTGTGGCGTGTCTTTCCTTCTTCGAGTTTTAGCGAAGTTTGCGGGAAGTGAAATCCCAAACAGTGTATGGCGTTGTGGAAGCAGGGGATTGGTGATGGCGGGATTGTGTGCGCGTGCGGGCGCTGGTGTGTGCAGGCTTGATCATCAACACGTTTTACAGCAACAAGGAGATTTTCCTGCGTGAGTTGATCTCGAACGCGTCCGACGCTCTGGACAAGATCCGCTATGAAGCAATTACGGACCCGGAGAAGCTGAAGACGAAGCCGGAGCTGTTCATCCGGCTGATCCCGGACAAGGCCAACAACACGCTGACCATCGAAGACAGCGGCATTGGCATGACGAAGGCAGAGCTGGTGAACAACTTGGGAACAATCGCCCGCTCGGGCACGAAGGCCTTCATGGAGGCCCTGCAGGCCGGCGGGGACATCTCCATGATTGGCCAGTTCGGCGTGGGTTTCTACTCCGCCTACCTGGTGGCGGACAGCGTGACAGTGGTGTCGAAGCACAACGACGACGAGCAGTACGTGTGGGAGTCCGCGGCCGGGGGCTCCTTCACTGTGCAAAAAGACGACAAGTACGAGCCTTTGGGCCGCGGGACCCGCATCATTCTGCACCTGAAGGAGGACCAGGGCGAGTACCTCGAGGAGCGGAGGCTGAAGGACTTGGTGAAAAAACACTCCGAGTTCATCTCCTTCCCCATCGAGCTGGCTGTGGAGAAGACCCACGAGCGCGAAGTGACGGAGTCCGAGGACGAGGAGGAGAAGAAGGCCGACGAGAAGGCCGAGGAGAAGGAGGGCGAGGAGAAGAAGGAGGGCGAGGAGAAGAAGGAGGGCGAGGAGGAAAAGAAGGAGAAGACCAAGAAGACCAAGAAGGTCAAGGAGGTCACCCGCGAGTGGGAACAGCTCAACAAGCAGAAGCCCCTCTGGATGCGCAAGCCCGAGGAAGTCACTGAAGAGGAATACGCCTCTTTCTACAAGTCCCTTTCGAATGACTGGGAAGAACACTTGGCTGTCAAGCACTTCAGCGTCGAGGGCCAGCTCGAGTTCAAGGCCCTCCTCTTCGTCCCCAAGAGGGCCCCCTTCGACCTCTTCGAAACTCGCAAGAAACGCAACAACATCAAACTCTACGTGCGCCGCGTCTTCATCATGGACGACTGCGAAGACATCATCCCGGAGTGGCTGAACTTCGTGAAGGGCGTTGTCGACTCTGAGGACTTGCCCCTCAACATCTCCAGGGAGAGCCTCCAGCAGAACAAGATCCTCAAGGTCATCCGCAAGAACCTCGTCAAGAAGTGCCTCGAGATGTTCGCGGAAATCGAAGAGAAGAAGGAAAACTACGCCAAGTTCTACGAGCAGTTCTCCAAGAACCTCAAGCTCGGTATCCACGAAGACAGCGCCAACCGCGCCAAGGTAAGCGGAAGAACGTGATTTCTCCCGTTTTAATTCCTTAAGATCTATCTTATATCTATTCATTTTAATGGAGCATGTGAAATTCACGCAGAGTTGAACAGAGATGGTGTGAGTCTTTATATGAGTGAGTGATTGAATTCGTGAGAGCTGGCTTGTATGTCCAAGGCAAATTCCCGTGCGTTTTCCGTTTGTATCGGAGTTTATATCGCAAGGGCCAGACACCTTGGGATAATGCACCTCGGTTCACTTTGGCCCATGTTCTTTGGTGTCGGTGCTGAGACGCGGTCCTTGAGATCTCTCCCTGCCTGTTGGCTTACCGGTGAAACTGCCGCGATCATGGGAGTAGATTGCGTTATCCGCGGCACAGCTTTTGCAATTTTGTTTCACAAATGGATTAACTTGGCTCCGGGATGATCGGGAACATGCACCACGCCTACACTGCATTGCGGTGCCTGTGCGGAGGATATCCCAAACCACACTCAGTCCACTGACGGTCTTTGTGGAAGGCTGCGCTCCATTGGAAGACTATTTCATATCTTGTTCATTTTAATAAAGATTGACCAATGTCAAGTGCGTTATAGGGAGAAGAGCGACTCCGGAATGCAAGTCCGAAGTGTTGTGCTTTGCTGGTGCGTACAGATCGCTGAGCTGCTGCGCTTCCACAGCAGCAAGTCTGGCGAGGACATGGTGTCTTTCAAGGAGTACGTGGACCGCATGAAGGAAGGCCAGAAGGACATCTACTACATCACTGGCGAGTCTCGCCAGACTGTGGCGAACTCTCCGTTCCTGGAGAAGCTGACGAAGAAGGGCTACGAGGTGCTGTACATGACAGACCCCATTGACGAGTACGCAGTGCAGCAGCTGAAGGAGTTCGACAACCACAAGCTGCGCTGCTGCACGAAGGAGGGCCTTGAGATTGACGAGTCTGAGGAGGAGAAGAAGAAGTTCGAAGAGCTGAAGGCCGAGTTCGAGCCGCTGCTGAAACTCATCAAGGAGGTGCTGCACGACAAAGTCGACAAGGTGGTCCTCTCCAACAGAATCACCGACTCCCCCTGCGTGCTGGTGACCACTGAGTTCGGCTGGTCCGCCAACATGGAGCGGATCATGAAGGCTCAGGCGCTGCGGGACAACAGCATGACCAGCTACATGGTCAGCAAGAAGACCATGGAGGTGAACGGCCACCACAGCATCATGATTGAGATTAAGAACAAGGCTGCTGTCGACAAGTCCGACAAGACTGTGAAGGATCTCATCTGGCTGCTGTACGACACGGCCCTCCTCACCTCCGGCTTCAGCCTCGAGGAACCCACCCAGTTCGCTGCGCGCATCCACCGCATGATCAAGTTGGGTCTTTCCATCGATGATGATGAAGAGGCAAAGGATGATGACCTTCCCCCTCTGGAGGAGGTTGAGGGCGCTGCCGACGAGGCCTCCAAGATGGAGGAAGTCGACTAAGAGGTTTGCATGCGCTGGCGGGCGTGAGGGAGAGAGCAACGGCAAAGTGAACGTGCAAAACATTTCTGCATGCAGGCGATGGTCTCGTGCGAAATGTTCGAAATCCAAATTGTTAAGTGATCGCGAGGGTTCACAGATTCTCTAGATACAAATTCCTGCGCGGGGCAACTGCCCCAGTCAGGAACTGGCGAACAAGACTCTGAGCTTCGAGCATCAAGATTTTGCTATTGATGTTTCCCGCGTCTTCCACACCAGAACACTTCAGCGAGTAGCATCTTAGAATTCATTTCGAAGCACAAGTGCGACGAATTTAGATATCTAGTGGAAGGACGGAGTAGTGTGAGCTTAACGAGTAGCCGATTGTTAAAGCCCATTTCGGTTAGGGAATAAGTAACTTGGTGAGTTTGCAGTCGTCTGGATGTACGGTAATGTCTTGGAATAGTTACAAGCTTTATTACCAGTTCAGCATTGGCCTTCGGTGGCAGTTCCGCACATTAAGGCAATGCGAAAGTTGCATTTAGTGGGTGGCAAGTTGGGCCCTGGGAATAGACTGTTCCAGCGAGTTAAGAGGCTGGTACATTTATTTGCTTTGAAAATCAACCGGGATTATCAAATTTGTGCAAAAGGGCGCAGCAAGGCGGCAAATGCCTTAATTCTTTGCTGCTTAGTGCCCAGGGCAGATCGCCACTGTTGACTTGCTGGGTTGTATGCACCAGCTCCTCATGCACACAGTGCAGATGGATGCTTTAACAAGAATGTATCGAACAAGATAATTTGAATTTTATACTTTCGAACTTTAATTCATTTATTTACGTGTTAAAACTCGTCAGCCACAAATGGCCGGCTCCGTCCATCGGTCCCAGAGAGCAGCAGCGGCTGGGCTGCTCGCGTAGTTATTCTCTCTGTCTTCTGCAAATCGCTAGATCCCCGAAGTAATTAATTTACATAATTTAAATTGCATTTCTGCGTCAAAGAAAAGGGACTTGTGTCCTTCTGAGCCTTCTGGGCTCCACCATCGATCGATTGTTGAGATGGTTTCGGCTGCGGTTGGTCTTCAGTGCTGCAGGGAATGATCACCTCTCAGCTTTCCCGCGAGATATTTGCCTTGAACTTGAAATGGCAAAAGTCTTTGGAGTTTTCTGCAGATGGCTCTTTGCCTGGAGCCTCTGAAGAAGGCACACTTGAGGCAATTGCAGCGGGACTGCAGGCTTGTGCAAAAGAAATTCAAGAAAAATGGAGTGTGGAGTTCGCCCTCGCCAAAGACGGGCAGGGCTGGGGGCCCTCCCAAGACGCTGCAGCAGCAGCTCTCACTCAGGCTCTCCTGGGCAAGGAAGGCTTGCTGGGAACTGTTGCTGCTGCTGCGCTGCAGAAGGGGCCGCAGCAAGTGACCCTCAAGAAGCTCGCGCTGGACCTTTGCCGCACATTTGTCTCACTTGAACTCCCAGCTGCTGCCTCTGTGGGCTCTGAGACCCTCGCGGAGCTAACAGTGAGTTCAGGGGGCTGACAGCTGAACTTGCTGCCCCAGACAGGGGCTGTTCTAAATTTCTCGCGGCCTGACTTCACCGCTGCTGCTGCTGCTGCTGCTGCCGCGCACTCTGCTGTGTCTGGTTTCTACAGGAAAGCTGTCTCAGCGCTGCAGCTGTGGACCCGGCCCACAAGGTCAAGCAGGCGGCGCTGAGGCTCCTGCGGGCGGCCTTTGCTCCTGAGACAAGTGGGGGCCCCTGGGGGCCCCCCTGGACTGCACTGCCTCTGCCTGCTGCTGCGCTGCAGCACATGCTGCGCCGCCTAGCAGCAGAACTCAGCTGCAGCGACAAGCGGGCGGGCTCTACAGTCCGCGCCGAGCTTTTGCTGCTCTTGGGTGGGCGCCTTTCCGAAGTCTTCAGAAGACCCGGAGCTTCCATGATGAGCTCAATAGCTGCAGCCAGAGTAGTAGTCAAGCCCCTCAAAAGCTGCTGCTGCTGCTGCTGCTACTGCTGCTGCTGCTGCTGCTTTCGTGTGCTGTGCAGCTGCGCTGCTGAGCCGCCTAAGGGACTACCCCGAGCTGACTGGCCCCTGGCTGCTGCCAGTACTGCAGCAAATCACCTGCCGCCTGGGGGCCCCAGAAGGGAAGCTCAGCGCATCCCCCACGGAGGCCTTGGGGGCCCTGGAGGCGCTGCAGCAGCTGCTGCACAGCCACAAGACCCTGGGGGCCCTTTTGCCTGCAGAGGTGTGGGGCCGCGTCTATGCCTACGCCGTGACTTTGGGGGCCCCCGAAGGCCAGGAGAGAGGCCAGGGGGGCCCCCCAGGGGGCCCCCAAGGAAGTGCGAAGTCATACCAGCAGCAGCTGCTGCAGCCTGCTGCCTTGGACCTCCTGGCCGCCGGGGCAGAGACCTTTGCTCCTTTTCTAGACAAAGACATTTCCCAGGAGTTTGCTGCTGCATTGGAGGCGACAGGGGAGGGGGAGCTTCCCCCAAACAAGCTAGGGGGGCCTGCCTCCTGCGAAACCAGCAGCAGCAGCAGCAGCAGCAGCAGCAGCAAGCAGTGCAGCAGACGGGGCACCCTGCTAGATCGACTGCTTGGCTTAGCCGCCTCGCCTCAAGTCTCTGTTGCAAATGCAGCAAGGCGGGCCCTAGCCCGCATAATGCGGTGCCTGTGTGGCTCTGTGGCCATGGGGGCGGCAGGAGCAGCAGCAGCAGCAGCAGGAGCAGCAGCAGCAGCAGCGGGAAGCAGCAGCATCTGCGGCAGCAGGAGCAGCTGCGACGAGAAACTAAACAGGCCCTTGCTGCTGTGCACTGTCCCGCTGCAGCTCTTTGGGGCCCGCCTTGTCTCTGAACTCTGCAGCGCCAGTTTGCTGCCAGCAACAGAGGCTGCGTCTCAGCCTGAAAGTTGGTGGCAGCAGCAGGGCTGCAGGGCGCTGCTCGTGCCCCACTACATAGGCATGCTATCTGCTGCAGAGCAGCAGCAGCAGCAGCAGCAGCAGCAAGGGTTTGCTGCTGCTAGGGCCTGCCTCCTTCTGGCGAGCGCTGGCTGCGGCCCCGCCTGGCAGCAGCTCCATGGCCCATCTGTGGCGAAGCAAACTCTTCACTTTCTGTCTTCTGCTGGGGAGACATTGTGTTTGCTGCTGGGGGAAAAAGATGTTTCTTTTGCTGCTTTTCCGGCTGCTCCTGCAGCAGCAGCAGCAAAAGCTGCTGCTGCTGTTGGGGGGTCAACTGCCGGCTCCGCGCTTTCAGAGGAAACAGCCGACGCCAAACGCCGCCGCATCTCTCCCGAGGCGCAGCAGCAGCAGCAGCAGCAGCAGCAGCAGCAAGAGCCTGCGGGCGAAGTGCATCCCCCAGAGGAGCTGCCTGATTTGCCTGTAGAAGAGTCCCAGAGCAGCAAAGTCGAGAAAGTACTGCTGCTGCCTGCTTCTTTCTGCAGACTTATAGAGAATATTTCTGTTTCCTTATTTAAGCTGCATGCAGAGGCCGGGGCCCTCCCGCGGGCTTTGCTGCCAAAAGCTGCTGCAGCTCTCGGAGCCGCGCTGCGGGCTTTGTTGCGGGCAGCAGCAGCAGAGACCGCCGCTGCAGCAGCAGCAGCTGCTGCTGCTCTGCAGGGCGCAGGCGACGCGCAGCCCTTCGAAGCAACGGAGACAGACACGGGAGAAGACCGGAAGCAAAGCCAGCTGGCGGAAGCAAAAGAAGCAGCAGCAGCAGCAGAGACAGAAAGCCTCAAGGCAGGAGGAGCAGCAGCTGCTGCTGCGAAAAGTCTCATCAACCAAACGCTGCTGCTGGCCCTCAGCGAAGCAGCAGCTCTGCAGCCGCCGCCCGCTGTTTCCGTTGCGGGCCTCTGGCGTGCCATTCTGGGGCTGCCGGGAGAAGCAAACCGCAGCAGCAGCAGCAGCAGCAGCAGCAGCAGCAGGGAGGCTGGTTCTTTGGGGAAGAGGATGAGAGACTCTGGGGGGGAGCAGCAAACAGATCCAGGAAGCAATGAAGTCCGGGATGCTGCAGCTGCGGCTGCTTGGCTGCTGCCTCTTAGCCGAATTTTGCTGGAGTCCTTTTATTCCTTTTTTGCCTTAGGCCTGGAGTCCTCAGGAAGCAAAAAGGCAAATGCAAATCTGCTGCCGGCCTTGGGGCCTCTCTTTGCGCAAGCTTTGCTGCTGCTGCCTGCAGAAGCAGCAGACGGCGAAGCAGCAGCCAGCTGCTTCCTCTTTCAGCTGCAAGCTGCGTCGCTGCCAGCGACCTGCAGCAGCGCGGGCGCCTCCTCTTTGCTGCTGCAGCGGGGAGGCGCTGCTGCTGCAGCTGCTACAGAGCAGCGCAGCAGCAGCATCACGGAGGCAGGCGCTGCTGAGGGCCTGCTGTCCCTGGCCTTGAGCTCAGTAGAGAGTTTGTCTCTTAAGGAGCTGCTGCAGCGGCTGGCAATCTGCTTTTGCTGCACTTTCTCAGCTGCTTCTGCTTCGCGCCGGCTGCTCTGTGACCACTGGTCAGTTACCCCTGCAGTTGCCTTCCTGGGGGGCTGTGGGGCCCCACACAGCCCCGCATGCATGCAGAGAGTGCCACTTCACAAACAGACACACAAAAGAGAGGGGAAGATTGCTGCAGCGCAGCGCAGCAGCAGCTCGAGCTGCTGCGCAGCTGGGCAGGCCGCTTTAGAGGCAAGAGAGCTGCTGCTGCTGTCCTTCTTGAGCGCCCCTCCCGTTGCTGCTGCCCCTTGAGCTTCCCGTGTGGCGCTTTTGTGCTGCTGCTGCTCCCTTGTGCTGCTGCTGCTCTATGGATTGCACAGGGTCGCTGCTTCTGCTGCTCTCCTTCGCCGCGCAATCAGCCAGCCAGCTGCGCCCCCCAACTTGCTGGCGCTGCTGCAGGCAGCAAAACCTTCGGTGGAGCTTTGGGCAGCCACAGAGGGCTCTAAAGACGCTGCGGGGCCCCACAGAAACAACGGGTTTTCTGCGGCCTCCTGCATGCAGGCCACGAGCAACAGCAGCAGCAGCAGCAGCAGCAGCAGCAGCAGGTGCTGTTGCTGTTACGGGGGACGCTGCAGCTGCTGCACGGCTGGCGCAGAGCGGGCAATGGCAGCAGCCCTCGAGAAGACGCTGCTGCTGGTGGGAGCAGCAGCACGCTGCGTTCCTTCAGAAGAAGCTGCTGCAGCTGCTGCGCTGCTGCTGGCAGCACCCGATTCCTTTTTGCTGACGAGGCCCCCCCTCTTCCGCAGCACTTTAAAACTGGCGTTGCTGCTGGGGCGGTCAGACCTGCGGCTGGCCGAAGCAGCAGTGGGGGCGCTGCGCCGCTGGCTGCACTACCAGGAGCAGCAGCAGCCGCACCATCAGCAGCAGCAGCAGCAGCAGCAGGCAGCGGGGGCTGGGCAGTTGCTGCAGGAGATGCTGCCTTTGCTGCGCCCCTTCCTTGCAGCTTCCTGGGAAGAAGAGGCTCGCAGGGGGCCCTCTCGGGAGTCCCTCATAAGAGCAGCAGGCCGAGCTGGGTTGCTGCTGCCGCGGCTGCAGCAAGCTGCAGCACAGGGGAACCTGCTGTTTGCTTCTGCTTCCTTTTCAGGGGCCTCCAAAGCTGCTGCTGAGGCTCCCCTAGAGTCCCCTGCGCTGGCCAGCTGGGGCCCCCGCGGGGGGCCCCTGAGGCAGCAGCTGCTGCTGCTGCTGGGGGAGCTGGGGCCCCGCGTCTCTCTGCAGCTCTTCAGGGGCCCAGCAGCAGCAGCGCAGCAAATCCTGACAGCAACCCTGGCGCTGCAGTCTTGCGAAGCGGCAGCGCAAGCTGCTGCCAGCGGCTGCAGCAGCACTAGCTTTGCCCCGCAGGCGTTCCTGCAGCTGCCTCTGCCCCTGGGGGGAGCAGCAGCAGCAGCAGCAGCAGCAGCAGGGGCGTCAGAGCACGCAGGGATCTATGTGGACGGGGGCCGCCTCGTGGTGGCTGCTGCAACAGCAGCACTGCAGGCCGACAGCAGGCAGCAAAGAGCTTCTTTCTGTGAGCTGCTTGCGGCGCTGCTGTCAACTTTAGCAGACAAGCTGCTTGCTGCCTGCAGCGCAGCAGCAGCAGCAGCAGCTGGCCCTGGCTCTTTTTCTGGGGCTGGCGCGGGCGGTGGCGGGTACTGGGGAGCAGCAGCGCCTGGGTCCTCAGGAGCAGCAGCAGCAGCAGCAGCTGCTGCTGCTGCAGTCGCCATGGGATGCCTTTACAAAGCAGTGGTGCCGGGCCTCTTGGAGCTTATTGCTTCTGCAGATCCCATCCCGCAGCAGCTGCTGGCTCCCGTGCTGCTGCAGCTGCAGCACGTCTCCCTTGATGCTGCTGCTGCTGGCCCAGCTGCCCAGTCAAACCCTGCGGTGAGGCTGCAGACTAGGGCCTCTGCCACTAGCTTGTTTCTTAGCGCTGTTGTCCTTGTTGCTGCTGACATTACTGCTGCTGCTGCTACTGCTGCTGTTGCTCTTGCCCAGCTCATTACCGCTGCTGCTGCTGCTGCTCCTGCAGCTGTTGCTCTTGCCGAGCCTGGCCCCGCTGCTGCTGCTGCTGCTGCTGCTGCTGCTGTTGATGTTGCGGAGCCTGGCCCCGCTGCTGCTGCTGCTGCTGCTTGTGCTCTTGCGGAGCCCGACCCCGCTGCTGCTGCTGCTGCTGCTGCTAGCTTCCTCAAGCCCTCGGTTGTGCTGCACTTGCGCAGCTAGCGGCGCTGGTGGAGACAGTGGCAGATGGCCTTGGCCACGCCTTCGCCCCTCAGCGGGCAGTTGCTGCAGCAGCAGCTGTGGCCCTGATATGCAGGTTGCTGCGGCGGCTAAACGCAGGGGAGGCTGCTGCTGCTGCTCCTGCTGCTGCTGCTGCGTGCTCCGCTGCTGCAACTGCTGCTACGGAGATGTCCCTGGATGCAGCAGTGAAGCAGCGAGGCAAGGCTCGGGACGTGCTGCTGCTGCGACATCTTCTGGAGCAGCTGCTGCTGCTGCCCATATGTCTTGGATCCCTCCGCCGCCGGCTGGGTGGCCTCGCTGTTCTTGCTGCTCTGCTGCCGCTGGCAAGCCAAAGTTGCTGCTGCAGCACTTCTCGTGAAGTTCTGGGCGAAACGGCATTTGGAGCATTTTCTGGGCTCCTGAGGGCCCTGCCCAGACCACTGGAAGCACTGGCTGCTGCTGACGAACGCAAAAGCAGCAGCAGCAGCGGCAGCAGCAGCAGCTGCTGCTGCTGCAGCGGGGCTGCTGCATCTCTGGAGGCAGCAGCAGAACTCACGGGAGAAACGCCAGAAGTCCAGCAGTGCCTCCAGGGGCTGACTGTAGCGGGAAAGCTCTTCATCGAGCTGCACAGGGACTTCTGCCGTGAGGCTGGGGGCGTGGCAGCAGCAGCAGCAGCAGCAGCAGGGACGACTGGTGCTGCTGCAGATCCTGCAGCAGCAGCAGCAGCAGAAGGAGCCACTGAAGAGCAGACTGAGACGAGGCAATGCGTGCTGGCGCAGGGGCAGCGCCTCATAGAGCTGCTGCAGCCCTTTGCACTGTCAGTTTCTTGCCTACCTGAGTCCAGCTTGCAGCAGCAGCAGCAGAAGCAGCAGCAGCAGCAGCACTGCAGCTCATAAATTAGGGTTTTTAAAGGGAAACACTAACACGCAGCAGCGGCCTCGCCAGCTGGCCCGTTCGCAGCGCTTCTCAGGGCATATGCGCCAGGAAGAGCTAGGGTTTGATGCGTGCGAGCCGGGGTTTAGGGTTTAGGGTTTAGGGTTTAGGGTTTGCGCTTTGGAGGCTGGAGTCCAGGATTGGTTTTGCGATTATTCGTGCTGCCTACAGACTCTCAGGAGACGAAAGAACACGCAGCGTTTGCCGTTCGCTGCTGCAGCAGCTCATACTGAGTTTAGGCACCGCTGCAGCAGCAGGAGGCCAGACATCTGGGACAGCAACAGCAGATGCTGCTGCTGCTGCTGCTGCTGCTGCTGGGCAACAAGCGCTAGAGGACTGGGGTGTCAGAGCTCTAGCAGGTGCAGCAGCCTCTTCCCTCAGAGCCCCTACACAGCCCTTAATTGCTGCAGCAGAGCTGCAGCAGCCCGCAGTGGACATTCACGAGAATGTGCTGCCTCTGTGCTGCTGCTGCTGCTGCTGCTGCTGCTGCAGAGCTAAGAAGGCGGGTCGAAGGCCTCTGCCAGCAAATCAATGCCCGGGAATCCCCAGCAAATATCCCCAAGTGCTGCTGTGCAGCTCGTGGGCTGGCGCTGCTGCTGGACAGCGCCTTGTGGCTAGCTGGGGCTTCAGCAGCTGCATGCGCCAGCCTCTTTGGGGACTTTTTGCTTCTCGAGGCGCTGCAGCAGGCCCTGCAGCTGGCTTTGCTGCCAGCAAAGACTGCAGCAGCACAGCCCCTCCGCGGGGCCCTTCTCGAGACTCTGGCTGAAACTGCCTTCAGGCTCTGTCTTCTAAGACATCCGGGGGCCCCGCAGGCCCTAGAGGGCTCCCGAGGGTCTGGGGAGGGGGCCCATAGCCCCCAGGGGCCCCGGGGCCCCCGGGGGGCCCCCCCAGACCCTGGGTGTCAGGGGCCCCGGGGGGCCCCCAGGGGCCCCTCCGGGGTCCCTGACAGCCAGGGTCTGCTTGAGGCGGGAGAAGGGCAGCTGCTGCTGCAGGCTTTGGGGCAGCAGCAGCAGCTGCAGGGGCCGGTTGGTGAGGGGGGGGCCCAGGGGACAAAAGAAGCAGCGGGAAGAGACATTAGGGGAGTTGAGAATGTTTTTGCTGAGCCTCTTCTTCTCTTTTTGCTGCTGCCTGCTGCTAGAGGCTTCAGAGCAGTGGGCAGCGAGCGGCGCCATCTGAAGCAGCTTGCTGCTTCTGTGCTCAAGGCCCTGTCCTTCGCTTCCCCAGCAGCAGCAGCAGCAGCAGCAGCAGCAGCAGCAGCAGCAGGCGGGCTGCCGGAGCCAAGGCACCCAAGGTCCCGAAATGCAGCAGCTACCACTGAGCGCCGCCTCAAGGCTTTGCTGAGGGGCTGGGGAGAGAGCAGCAGGCGGTGTTTGCTGCTGCAGCGGGAAGAAGAGCAGCAGCAAAAGAAGCAGCAAGAAGTTAGAAGAGACCCCCGGGGGATCGTCTCCTCCCTGCTGCGCCCCTGTGCAGCAGCAGGCGCAGCAGCAGCAGGCCCCGCAGCTGCTGTGGCTGCGTTTGTGCAGGGACTTGAAGCAGCAGAAGATCTTTTCGGCTGCTGCTGCTTGCTGGATGAGGCTACTGGCGAGCTGCTGCTGCTGCCAGGGGTGTCTCCCGCTGCAGCGGCAGAGGCTGCGGTTGCTGCTGCTGCAGAGCTGACGCGCAACGAAAAGCAGCAGCAGCAGCAGCAGCAGAAGCCAGCAGCTAGTGGCAAAGACGCAGAACTAGACCTCTTGAAGATACTGCAGCAAGGAGACACCCAGCTGAGACACAAGGGGGCTGCCTGCTTGCTGCAGCTCTCGCTGCTGCTGCTGCGCTGCGCAGCTAAATCTGCGGAGACCTCTACGGCGCGTGCAACAGTAGCAGCACTGCAAGCAGCAGCAGCAGCGCCAGCAGCAGCAGCGCCAGCAGCAGGTGCGGCAGCAGCTGGTGCAGCAGCAGCAGCTGGTGCAGCAGCAGCAGCTGCAGCAACAGCTCAAGAAACCCCAAGTCCTTCTCTCAGCACTGAGGCACGGACAGCACTTGCTGTTGCAGCTTTCCCGCTGCCTCTTCTTTTGCTGCCATTAGGAGATAGTGAATATTTAGCTGCAGCAGAAAAAGAAAAAGAAGAAGCAGAACGCCTTTTGTCTCTTTTAAAGACAATTAAAACTCTCAGCTGCTTCATTTTGCTGCCTCCACAAGTCCAAAATGCTGCTGCCTACGGCCACCTCCTGCTGCTGCTGACTGCCCTCGTGCGGCGCCAGGCAGCCGCAGAACTCCCTGCTGCTGCTGCTGCTGCTGCAACAGCACTCGCGCCGCTCGATGCAGCAGCAGCAGCAGCAGCAGCAACGGTTGACACTCCTGGGAGGGGCATCAACGGAATTGTCGGTGAAGAAGCTGCACCGGAAACGGAGCAGAAGCTGCTGCTGCAGCAGCTGCTGCTGGAAGTGCTCTTAGACGCATTTGAGACTTGGGGCTCTGCTACTGCTGCGTGGGATTCGCAGCAGCAGCAGGAGCAGCAGCAGCAGGCGTCCTTGGAGAGAAACCTTTCTTCGCAAAGCCCTGCTGCAGCAGCAGCAGCAGCAGCAGCACCAGCAGCTGCTGCAGCAGCAGAACCAACGAAAGCCACAGCAGCCACTATTCATCTGCTGCCGCACTTAGCCGCACTCGCAGACCTGCTAGTTGCTGCTGCTTCTTGGGGCCCTTTTCTGCATGCGCTGCCGCTGCGAAAGGGAGCTGTGGGGTTTGTTGCAGCAGCAACAGCACAAATGCTGGCTGGGGGCCCCTCTAGTGCAGCAGCAGTTCAAGGAGCAGCTTTGAAGGGAGGCTACACAGCAATTGTGCTCGCAGACCTGCTGCACGAGGCCACCATAGAGCAGGCTGCTGCCCTCCCTGCTGCTGCTGCTGCTGCTGCTGCTGCTGCTGCTGACTGCGTGGAGACTCGGCGGGGCGATCTTTTTGCTGCTGTGGCGCTCTGCAACGAAGGCTTGAGTGCCCTTATTGCTTCTTCTTTTCCTCTATCTTTTGCTGATTTGCAAAACCTGCAGCTGCAGCAGGAAGAAGCAGAGAGGTGCGCGCTGCTGCTGCACGCGCTGCTGCAGTGCTGCCTCAGAGCCTTCACTGCAGCAGCAGAATGGGAAGAGGCGCAGCTCGCGGCAGCTTCTGCTGCCTCCGGGGGGCCCTTGCCTGGTGGAGCCCTGCCGCAGCAGGAGCAGAAACAGCGGCAGCAGCAGCAGCAGCAGCAGCAGCAGCAGGGCGCAGAGGCCGCCCCCGCGCGCGGGGGACCCTTCGGCGCAGCAGCAGCAGCAGCAGCAGCAACAGGAAGTGCGGACAGCAGCCCGGAGCTGTTTGCTGCTAGGGACCGCCGTCACCTGCATGCGCTTTCTCTTTGTCTGCAGCACTTGCATGATTTGTTTCGAGAAGAAGCCAGAGGCGTTTTAAAAGAATTCAAAAACTTCATTTGCTGCCTCATCAGCTGCTGCGCACAAAAACGCTGCCCCCGCCTCCGCATCTTTTTGCTGTCGCACTGCTTCTCGCTGCTGCTGGCAGACGCAGCAGCCTGCAGGCCCCAGGGGCCCCCGGGGGGCCCCCTGGGGCCCCCGGGGGCCCCCTGGGGCCCCTGGGGGCCCTCCCCGGGCTACCCCGGGGCTTGCATGCAGCAGCCTATGGGCCGGGGGCCCCTAGGGGGCCCCCCAGTGGAGTCTCTCAGGCGCCGTCGGCTGCTGGGGCCCTCCCTAGTTGAGTGCCTCGCGGCGCCGCTGCTGTTTGCTGCAGGCAGGGAAGCAGCAGCAGCAGCAGCAGCAGCAACAGCAGCAGCAGCAGCATCTGCTGCTGGTGACGACGAGGGGACGCGCTTCCTTTGCAGTGTATGGTGTCTCCTTTGGGATCGTCTGCTTCCGCTAACTTCTCCCCCGTGGGAACTTTTCCTCTTGGGGCTGGGCCCCACAGCTGCTGCTGCTGCTGCTGCTGCTGCTGCTGCAGACAGAGTCATGGGGCTGGGGGTTTGTCAGCTGCAGGTCTTTGCTGCTGCCTGCGCCCTTCTGGAGGCTCTTTTTGCGGTGACGCCGCTGGCCGTGCTGCGGGAAAGAGTGGTTCCTCTCATCCAGCAGCAGCAGCAGCAGCAGCAGCAGCAGCAGCAGCAGCTTGGCAGCTTCTCCTTGCCCGCGGCTGCTGCAGCGTCCCAAACTGCTGCTGCTGCTGCTGCTACTGCCCGCAGCACACGCACAACTGTGACACGGGAAGCCATAGCAAGCCTCTCTGCTGCCTTGAGGACTCTCTTAGCTGCGCCCTTCTCTCGAAGGCCCCTCGAGGGTTTCTGGGGTTTGCCAGTGGCTGGGGGCAGCGCAGCAGCCACGGGGAGCCGCGCTGCTGCTGCTGCTGCTGCTGCTGCTGCTGCGCCTGCTGCTGCTGCTGCGTCGTGGCTGGGGGACCTGTACGACTCGTGGCTGCGGCGCAGCCGCGTGGGCGCCTACAGCTGCCTCAGCGCAGCTGTCTGCAGCACCCAAACAAATCCTTCTTTGTACTTTTCTCTTTTGTCTGGAGAAGCTGCCCAGCTGCTGCTGCTGCTGGACCCAGAGCTGCTGCACTACGCGCAGCAGATGCGCGAGCAGGTGGACACCGCGCTGCCCTTGTGGGGCCCCCGGGGTGCCCCCGAGAGATCCCCCCAGGGGGCCTCCGAGGGGGGCCCCCAGGGGGCCCCCGGGGGGGCCCCCCGGGGGCCCTTCCAGGGGCAGTTTCCGGGTGCATCATCTCTGGTTGCCGCTGCTGCTGGGAGAGGCTGGCAGCTGCAGGAAGAGGAGCTGGAGGGTACTGGGGGGCCCCCGGGGGCCCCACTAGCCGCGGGTGAGTCTACTTTAAGTTTGGTGGAAGCAGCAAAATCATTCTCCGGAAGGTTCCTCAGTGCCTCCCAAGGCCTTTCTTTGGGGGCCCCAGGGGCCCTGCAGCAGGGGCTGCTGCTGCTGTCGCAGTCTGCGAGGCCGCCTGGGAGAGTGTGGGGCCGCAGTGCGCGGCAGCAGCAGCAGCAGCAGCAGCAGCTGCTGCTGCTGCATGCAGCCTCCCAGACTCTGGGGCCCCACAGCCTCGCGGCTGGCCACTGGCTGCGCAGCCTTTCTTTAGCCCCGGGGCTGTCCGCGGCCTTTGCCCAGGCAGAAGCAGACAGAGTCAGTGCAGCAGCAGCCCCACACAGCAGCAGCAGCAGCTGCTGGCAGCAGCCACAGAGCAGCAGCCCGCAGCAACAAGTGGAGGCGGTCTTGTCTGGCCGCGCCCACGCACTTTCCCCCCAGAACCCCAATGTAAGAATGCAGCAGCATTGGCAGCAGCAGCAGCAGCAGCAGCAGCAGCAAGGCTTACGTAGCTGCAGCCCTAGATTGCCGCTGTGCCACTGACACGCGCAGAGCTGCAGCAGCCGCTGCTGTAGCTGCAGCCATTACAGCTATATCACCGCTGCCGCTGCAGCAGCCCTTCAGCAGCAGCAGCAGCAGCAGCAGCGCAGCCCGCAAACCTGGCATTGCTTAGTACAAGTTAAACTTGTGGGGTTTATGAGGAACAGAAGCCCCCAGATCTGCTGTCTTAACTCTGAGCTGCCCCTTTGTCCTGCTGCTGCTGCTGCTGCTGCTGCTGCTGCAGGGGCCTCCTTATGACGACGCCGTTGGCAGGGCTGCTCTGCTGCAGCAGCTGCTGCGGCTGGTAGACTGCTGCAGCGCCCGCTTCAGCGAGTCCTGGGGCGCAGCTGCTGCTGCAGCAGCAGGAGAAAAGGCCCAGGGGCTGCCCCCGCTGATGGAGTCGCTGGTGCGCTGCTGCAGCCCAGGAGCAGCAGCAGCAGCAGCAGCAGCAGCAGGGACGGGCGCGGCCGCAGACACAGAAGCAGCAGCAGCAGCAGGAGGGAAGACTGCAGGGGACAGGGCTTGGGCCTTTGGCCTCCTGCTGCTGCGCCTGCTGCTGCAGCGGGCGCAGCTGCTGCGGCCCCTCGCAGACAGGGGCTTGCTGGACTTTGTTGCGGAAACAGCAGCAGATGGCCGCATGCTCGGTGCCAAGAGACTGCACTACTGGATGCGGTGAGCTCCAGGGCCGCTACTGCTGCTGCTGCTGCTGCTGCTGTTGCTGCTGCTGCTGCTGCTGCTGCTCAGCAGTAGCTGCAGCAACAGCTGCAGCAGCGGGAGTGCTCCAGCCGTTTCCAGCTGCTGCACTGCGCTGCAGCGGCAGCGTTGGGCTGTCTTGCTGCAGCTGCAGCAACTCGAGCCGAGCTGCCGCAGCACGGGAAAAGGGCCTGTGAAATATGTCCCATTTTCTGTGCTGCTGATTTTGCTGCTGTCTCCTTTTCTTGCTGCAGTGACACAGCGCTGCTGCTCATCCAATGGCTGCAGCCGCACTCCCCACAGGCGCCTGGCTGGAGCCCCCCGGGCGCGGCCGCGACCGCCCCGCAGCCCCCCCAGCAGCAGCAGCAGCAGCAGCAGCAGCAGCAGCAGCAGCAGCAGCAGCCGCTGCAGCCGCTCACGGCTGCGCGGCTCGCGAGCTTCGCAGAGGCCCTTATCAAGCTGTCGACCAGCATCGACCCGCCCACGCACAAGTCCGTCTCTGCCCTTCGGCTCAACTCTGCGCCACGCTGCTGCTGCTGCTGCTGCTGCTTCTGCTGCTGCTGCTGCTGCTGCTGCTGCTGCTGCTTTTACTGCTGCTGCTTCTGCTGCTTCTGCTTTTACTGCTGCTGCCTGTTGCTGCTGCCGCCTGTCACTGCTGTTTCTGCTGCTCCTGCTGCTTCTGCTCCTGCTGCTTCTGCTCCTGCTGCTTCTGCCTCTGCTGCTGCAGCTGCTGCAGCTGCTTCTGCTGCTGCTGCTGCTTTTGCTGCTGCTGCTGAGCCAGAGCGTCAGCTGTGTTTGCTTTTTTGCAGGCTGAACCTGATGCTGGTGGGCTCTTTCCTAGAGTTGCTGCACCTGCGTTTGGGGGGCGTGGGGGGCCCCTCTTGGGGTTTGTCTTTGCCCGCAGCAGCAGCAGCCAGGGGCCCCTGGGGGCCCGGAGGGGGGGCCCCCCAGGGGCTCCAGGGGCATCAGGGGCCCCAGGGGCCCCAGGGGCCCTGGGGGCCCCCCTCTGCCCCCCAAGGAATCCCCTTTCTGCAGCTTTCTTTGCTGCCCTTTTTTGTCTACGAGAGCAGCAGCAGCGTCGAGGAGACAGCGAGATTTCGCCTCGGGGGTGCAGCTCTTCTTCAGCTGCTGGGGCCCCTCCAGCAGCAGCAGCAGCAGCAGCTGGCGCTGCAGCACCCGGGAGGGGGCCCCTACGACCAACTGCTCTTGTGCGGCAACCCGAGCTTTCTGCTGCTGCCCCTAAAATAAACCTAACAGCTCCTTAGTGGGGTCCTGCTGCTGCTGCTGCTGCTGCTGCTGCTGCTGCTGCTGCTGCTGCTGCTAAAGCCAGGGAGACACACAGGATTTTAGGCTGGAGCTGGTCTAGTGGGGCGGGCGCTGGCTAGCCCGAGGCAGCCGCTGCGGCTGCTGCTGCTGCAGCTGCTGCTGCTGCAATCCTCAGTGCTGCTGTGACTTGCGTTTGCTGCTGCTTCTGCTGCAGGAGCAAGAGTCTCCTGCTGGCTGTGCCCCGCGCCCTGTTCTTCCCTGCTGCTGCTGTGGCGCTGCAGGCAGCAAATGCTTGCTGCTGTCTTTTAAATTCCTTTCCCGTGGCAGCAGCAAGCAGCTCTTTGCATGCGACGGGGCTGGCCTTTCTGCGGTCCACCTACAGGCGGCTGCAGCAGCTGCAAGCAGCAGAAGCAGCAGCAGCAGCAGCAGGAAGGCCCCCCGCCCTCTGCGGCTGCGTCTCAGCCCGCCCGCAGCAGCAGGGGGGCCCCCCAGGGGCCCCCGCTGGAGCCCCTGGGGACTCCGGGGGGCCCCCAGGGAATGAAGACACTGCTGCTGACAGCAGCAAAAGAGAAAAGACCCTGCAAATGCTTTATTCTTTTAATTATGATGGCCGTTACTGCCCCGTGGCTGCTGCTTTTGCTGCTGCGCAGCCGCTGCTGTTTCTGGGGGCCCCCGCCTCGGCCGCGCGCGAGGCCTTCGCGGGTCTCCTGCATCGGCTGCAGCAGCTGCAGCAGCAGCAGCAGCAGCAGCAGCAGCAGTCCTCTGCGTCTCCAGGCAGCAGCTCCTCGTCCCGGAGAAAAGAAAACCAGAAAATAATTAGTTTGCTCTCAGCAGTGCGCGCCATTTGCTGCTGCAGTGTCCCCCAAGAGGCCCGGGGGGCCCCCGGGGCTGCCGTGCTGCTGGCGGCTTTCGGGGGGGGCCCCCCTGCTGCAGCAGGGGCCCCCAGCCCCGGGGAGGGGCCCCCAGCCAGGGGGCCCCCCGCCCAGGGGGACTTTGAAGACTTGGAAGCAGCTTTGGATCTGCTGCAGCAGCGGCAGCAAGACTCTGTTGCTGCTGCTGTTGAGGCCCTAGAGGAACTTTGGGGAGAACTCTTGAACCACCGCAGGTGCGCGAGGCAGCACGCAGCAGTTGCTGCTGCTGCTGCAGCTGCAGCCGCTGCCGCTTCTGCTGCAGCCACTGCTGCAGCCGCTGCTGCAGCCGCTGCTGCGCTGCTGCAACAGGGCAGCAGCAGGGCACAGTTGCCTCTATGTGTTGCTGCACGGGCGTGAGGGCTAGCTGTCTCTGCACTGGCAGTGCGTGTTAGCAGCTGCTGCAGCTGCTGCTGCTGCTGCTGCTGCTGCTGCTGCTGCTGCTTCTCAGGGAAACGTCCGTGCTGCTGGCCGCCTTGGAGCTGCTGCGGGGCCTCCTGAGGGCCCCCCTTGGCAGCAAAACTCTCGCTGGGGCCCTCCAGCCTTTTGCACAGCTCCTCAAGGGGCCCCCAGAAGAAGCTGCAGTCAAAGACTCTCTCTTCCAGCTCTGCGTCTTCCTCAAAAGCCACTCCCAGGTGATACCCCCAGCAAATCGTAGAGTCTTCAGGGGCCCCAGAAGTCCCGGGGGCCCCCGGGGCCCCCGGGGCCCCCGGGGCCCCCGAAGCCACCGGGGCCCCCGGGGCCGCCGGGGCCCCCGGGGCCCCCGGGGCCCCAGGGGGCCCCGGAGCCCCAGGGGCCCCAGAGGCCCTAGGGGCTTCAGGGGCTACAGGGGCCCCAGGGGCCCCAGGAGCTTCAGGAACTCCAGGGGCCCCGGGGGCCCCAAGGGCTTCACGGGCCCCGGGGTCCCCAGGGGCCCCTGGAGGCCTAGGGGCCCCAGGGGCCCCAGGGCCCCTCTGTGCCCCTGGGGCCCCTGGACCCCAGGCTTTCTCCCTTTCCTTTTTAGCCGCCTTTAGGGGGCCCCTATTGTTTTAGAGGTTACTGGAGAGAGACAAACGCATGCAAAACTGACTGGGAATCTTGCTGCTGCTCCCTGCTGTTGCTGCTGCTGCTGCTGTTGCTGCTGCTGTTGCTGCGGCTGCTGTTACTGCTGCTGTTGCTGCTGCTGCTGCTGCTGCTGCGCAGGACTACGCGGAGAGCCCGACGCTGCTGTCTTTCATGCTGGGGCCCTTTTTCGAGGGAGAGCTGCGACAGAAGCAGCTGGACTATTGGTTTGGTGGGGAGGGGGGCCCCCTTCCGGGGGGCCCCCTTCCGGGGGGCCCCTCTGAGAGGGTTCACTTTTTGCTGTCAACGGGGCTGACTGAGGCCACGGGGCCCCACATGCTGCGCCTTCTTGCTGCTGCTCTTTGCCACCCCGCAGGCCCAGCAGCAGGGGCCCCTCCTCCGGCTTCTCCGGGCCCAAGCGCTGCTGCTGCTGCTGCTGCTGCTGCGGCTGCTGCTGCTGCTGCTCCCCGCCCCGCGTTCCGGGGGGCCCTGGAAGCTATTACGCTTGCTGGGGCCAACTCGCTGGTGGTGGGGTCGCTTCGAGGGCCCCTTGGGTCTGGGGGCCCCCCGGGAGGGCCCTCGGGGGGCCCCTCGGGGGGCCCCCGGGGGGGCCCCTCGGGGGGCCCCTGGGGGGCCCCCTGGGGACTGGGGGTTGGCCGTGTGGGGGGCGAGGGCAGCAGCAGCTGGGGCGGAACCTTTGAGGGGCTTTCTGCTGTTCCTGTGTCTCCTTTTTCTCTGAAAGCAGCGGCTGCAGTTTCTCTTTTTGGGGGGGCATCTGCTGCAGCAGCAGCTGCAGCTGCAGACCCGCGGGCAGCAGCAAGTGTGGGGCCCGACGGGGGGCCCCAGAGTCTCCCTACGTGGCTGGGAAGCAGCAGCATATTGGGCTCTTTCAAGGGTACTGGGCCAGGGGGCCCCCGGGGGGCCCCCATGAGCCGCGCTGCTGCTGTGGCGCTGCAGGAGCGACGCAGCCGCAGAGCTGCGGGGCTGCTGCAGCGGCAGCTGGAGGCCCTGGAGGGTAGGGAGGAGACAGTTTTGCTGCAGCGGCCCTACTGGGGCCCCTGGGGCCCCCGGGGCCCCGGGGGCCCCGGGGCCCCCCAGAGGCCTGTGGGGGCCCCTGAGCACACAGTGCAGCTTCTGGGCGCAGCTTGCGAGCTCAGCCAGGCCTTTGCCCGCGAGTTCCTGCTGCTGCTGCTGCTGCCTGTGGGGGCCCCGGGGGGCCCCCTGCCTGGGGGGGCCCCCAGGGGGCCCCCCGACCCGCTGGGGCTGGGGGCTGCAGGCAGAATGGCCCTGGAGAGGAGCTTGAGGGGCCCCCGCGGAGACCCGCAGCTCGTGGGCTTTCTGCTGCGGCTGGTGCTGCAGGCCCTCGAGCAGCAGCAAACTTGGCAGCAGCAAACTTGGCAGCAGCAAACTTGGCAGCAGCAAACTTGGCAGCAGCAAACTTGGGGGGGCCCCCCGGCCCAAATGCAGGCCCAGGGGCTGGGCCCTTTAGAGCTCTTTGAACTCGCAGAAGCTACAGAGACGGTCGAGGCTGCGCTGCCGCTGCTGCAGCAGCTCACCTGCATGCAGCAGAGCTGGCTGCTGCTGCACCACTGGGGCCCCCCACCCCAGGGGGGCCCCCGGGGGGCCCCCAGCCCGGTCAGTCGAGGCCTTTTGCCTTACTTTAGTGCCCTGCTTCGGGTGTACAGACACCTAGGCCAGAGCAGCAGCTTCAAATGCTGCTTGCAGCTTCTCGCGCTGCACCGCTGCTTAGACACAGACACTGCAGCAGCTTTGCTGCAGCTGTGGGGTGGGGGGCCCCCCGGGGGGGGCCCCCCAGGGGGCCCCCCAAAGAGCCCGCGGTGGCTGCAGGAGGCCCCGGAGGCTGCAGCAGAAGGGAGCCAAGAGACAGCAGATGCAGCAGACCCGGGGGCCCTGAGGCCCCTGCTGAGGGAGGGGCAGTTGCTGCTGCTGCAGCGAATGATGCAGTACGTGCGCAGCTGCTGCTGCAGTGGGGTTCTAGTTTTGTGTCTCCTCTGGGGCTACCTGACTCAGTCTTTGCCTTTGCTGCTGCTGCTGTTGCTGCTGCTGCTGCTGCTGCTTCCAGTTCCCCTGCCCACTCAGCTGCGGCTGCCGTGGCTGCTGCTGCACAGCAGGGAAGTTGCTGCTACTGCTGCTGCTGCATCTGGGAGCTGCTGCTGCTGCTGTGCGCAGGTGGAAGCCGTTGCTCGACTTTGGCTCCGCCGCTCTTCGCTCCGGCCCCAACCAGAGCGACAGCAGCAGCAGCAGCAGCAGCAGCAGCAGCAGCAGCAGCGGGCTGGCAGCTGTAGACGCAGCCCGCGAAGAGGCGCTGCTGCAGCAAACGGCGGAAACAGGCTCTGGCTGTTTGCTGCGTGCTGCTTTGGCTCTAAATCTGGGGGCCCAAGATGCAGCAGCAGCAGCAGCTGCTGCTGCTTTTCTCTCGAAACTGGCCAGGCACGTTTGCTGCTCCGTCTCCTCAGCTAGTAGCGCCTAAAAGAAGCACCGCAAGCAGCAGCAGCAGCAGCAGCAGCAGCAGCAGCAGCAGCAGTTAGGGGGCCCTCGCCTCTGCGACAGGGCTTTCTATGATGCGCAGCCCTAAGGCTATGCCGTGCAGGAGCTGCCCTTAGCCCTAAACCCTAAACCCTAAACCCTAAGCCCTAAACCCTAGGCCCTAAGCCCTAGATTCTACACCCTTAAAACCCTAAATAACCCTAAACCATGAACGCTAAACCATAGAAGCTAGCTGCCAACCCTAAACCCTATTCTGTAGGCCTAAATCCTAGACCCCAAGGGCTAAATCCCAGACCCTAAACCCTAAACCCTAAACCACAGCAGCTCTCTCTCAAACTTGAATAAGGGAAGACCAAAACCACCTGGAACTGGTAACGGGCGTTCGGGGGCCCCAGGGGCCCCCAAACACTTCGTGGGGCCCCAGGGGGCCCCTGGGGGCCCCAGGAGCCCCAGAATCCTAAAGGCCCCAGGGGCCCAAGGGTACCCTAGGGGCCCCAAGGGCCCCGGGGGCCCCAGGGGCCCCCTTGTGGGGCCCTTGACCAAAGAAGGGCCTTTTACTTTGCGGTGTTTGCTGCAGGTTAGGGGAGCCCTTGTGGGGGCCCACGGGGGGCGGAGGCCCGCGGGGCTTGGGGGGCCCCCCGGGGGCCCCCAGTACCCCTTCTCTAGCGAAGGCTGTGGCGTGCCAGCTGCTGTCGCTGCATGCAGTGAGCAGGGGGGCCCTGGGAGAAGCGTCGCTGCTGCTGCAGCAGGGGGGAGCTGCTGCAGCAGCAAGAGTGGCAGCTGCCAGCTGCTGCTGCTCCTCTCCTTCTTTGCTGGCCGAGGCCCTCGGCCGCTTGTCGCTGTCGCTCTTCATGCGCCGCTGCCTCGCAGCAGCAGCAGCAGACAGCGCGCAGCAGCAGCAGCAGCAGCAGCACGGGGGGCCCCCCCGGCCCCCGCTGCAGCTGGAGTCTCTTTTGCTGCGCGAAGTTGCAGGGGCCCCCGGCTGGCTGGGGGCCCCCTTTGCGCGCTGCCTCTGGGGGGCCCCCTTGCCCCTCTGCATGGACGCGCTGTTTACTGTTTCTGCCTTTGCGGGGGCCTTCGAGCAGCAGCAGCTGCAGCAGCAGCAGCAGCAGCAGCAGCAGTGGGGGGGCCCCGTCGCCGCTGGCAGCAGCTGGCGCATTCGCTGCTGCGCCGCTGCTCGCGCCGCGCTGCAGCTAGCGAAGCGCCCAGACGGCCTCAGCACTGCCACCTTGCTGCTTCAGGACGTGCTGCAGCTGCAGCAGCAGCAGCAGCAGCAGCAGCAGCAGGCTGCGCCTCCCCCCGACCTCTTCCGCGCTGTCATAAAGCTGAAGCTCGCTGAGCTGAGCCAGGTTTCCCTCGGGAGCAGCAGCAGCGCAGCGAAGGCGCAGCAGCTGGTGCGTCTTGTGCAGCAGCAGCAGCAGCAGCAGCAACAGCAGCAGCAGGGGCTGTTAGCAGCTGGGCTAGGGGACGCTCCGGCATCTATGCAGCTGCAAAAGGAGACAGCAGCAAACCTGCTCTCGCTGCAGCTGTCCTGTCACTGTGCCCTAATTCAGCAGCTGCAGCAGCAGCAGCAGCAGCAGCGCAGCAGCTTTGCTGCAGCCCCAGGCTGCCCCGGGGGCCTCGCAGGCGCTGCTGCGGAGGCCCTGAGGGCCATTGACCGCATGCGCAGCTTGCTTAATCTCGACTGCAGCAGCAGCAACGAGCCCCTGTGGGCAGCACCAGCAGCAGCAGCAGCAGCAGCAGCAGGAGCAGCAGGAGCAGCAGGAGCAGCAGGAAGAGCAGGGGCAGCGGCAGCAGCGGGAGCAGCAGCA